CGGTTTAGTCGGATATAAAAAAAGATTTGGTTACCTTGTTACAACAGCAGATCATCTGCTTGACACCAAGGGTGAAAGCAAGGAGAGCGTGCTCACGGGTCTGACCATCCTTGGAGATACCAGCCTCGAAACCACCAGTGGTGGAGTCAATGATAAGGACGGCACAATCAGCCTGGGAGGTACCAGTAATCATGTTCTTGATGAAATCACGATGACCAGGAGCATCAATGACAGTGCAGTAGTACTTGGTGGTCTCAAACTTCCAGAGGGCAATGTCAATGGTGATACCACGCTCTCTCTCAGCCTTAAGTTTGTCCAAGACCCATGCGTATTTGAAGGACCTCTTGTTCATCTCAGCAGCCTCCTTCTCGAACCTCTCAATGACACGCTTGTCAATACCTCCCAACTTGTAGATCAAGTGACCAGTGGTGGTTGACTTTCCAGAATCGACATGGCCAATGACCACAATGTTGATGTGAAACTTCTCTTTACCCATGGTAGCTTGTCAAAAAGAATCTGCAGAAAAAGAGATCAATCATATAGAATCAATCAAATAAACACTTGAGATATATATAATCAATATGAAACTAATGTTTCTCTAACAAAACAATAATAAAAGTAAAAAGCCGCTATCGGAGTTGAACCGATTTCTACCACAAAAAATGTGGTGCTCTATCAACTGAGCTAAGCGAGCTTAATTCGCACAAATCAGCAACTCAGGAGTTCTATAGCAAACAAATCCGAGAGTTTCAATTTACTTTATTTCAAGAAGGAAGCAATGGATTTGTTATGCTTCTCCAAAATTACCGATCACAAGACAAATCGACTATAACAATCACATACATCCTAAGAACATAACTAGTTCACTCAGATCCAATTAACAATTCACGGAACCAGATCGACCGATTAGAACAAGAACTGTAAGAAACAAATACAGCCAAAAAAATAATTAATTCAATTACACAATAAGACGTTGATTTCATCAATACAGAAGGTTTAGGCCAAGGAAACAACGAAACTAAACGATACTATTAAAACGATCATCAAATTCAGGAACAATATAAACTATGAACGGATCGAAGAAGAAGAAGAAGAATAAAACGTATATATAATCAAATACACAGTTGAGATATATATAATCAATATGAAACTAATGTTTCTCAACAAAACAATAATAAAAGTAAAAAGCCGCTATCGGAGTTGAACCGATTTCTACCACAAAAAGATGTGGTGCTCTATCAACTGAGCTAAGCGAGCTTTATTCACACAAATCAGTAATTTAGGAGTTCTATAGCAAACAAATCCGAGAGTTTCCATTTACTTAATTTCAAGAAGGAAGCAATGGATTTGTTATGCTTCTCCAAAATTACAAATCACAAGACAAATCGACTATAACAATCACATACAACCTAAGAACATAACTAGTTCAATCAGATCCAATTAGCCTGATATACATGATGATCGGGAATTTTGTTTATAAAATCAAGTGTCAAGAACAAAAAATAACAATTACGATTGCGCTCGAAAACATTGATTTCAGACATCGATAAAACCTAAAATCACAGATCAGAAATAAGGATGGGGTCGTAGAGATACATGTAACAACAGACAAACGAGAATGATCAAAACAGCTTCAGGGAAGATCAGCACAAGAAACAGATTTGTAGATGCGTTCGGAGACGCTTACCTCAAGAGATAATCGCAAGAAAAGTGTGTAGCGGCTAGGGTGATTAAGAGTATTGAGCTATGTGACGGGATATGACTTTATTTATAGCGTCGAAACATAGGGTTTAACAATTTGTAGTCAAATTACAATTATGCCCCTTTTCCGCTGACTATTCTCTTCTTCGGCCTTTTGGGTCGGTGACGGTTAATGTTACAAAACTTCATAGTCAAGTTAATTTGAATTCTAGTGTGTTCGATCCAAAAGTGGAATTCAGTTTAACCATAAGACATCCTTAGTGTAGGCTAATAAACCAAAAATCACTATCATTAATACACCTTTTAATTGAGGTTATTCTTGAAATATAAGTTCTAGTCCCAACATATTCATTGATTGTATAGCAAATTCAATCGTGTGGCAATATTAGTTTCATCGTCACCCAATATGACAATGTTCTCTTGAGTATTTGATATCTCAATGAATCCAGATACTGGAGAAGCACCTACACCATTATTTATTCAACACCAAATACATAATTAACATATATTAACCTCAAAATCTTATGACAATGGAAACAGTTTATTATAACAATTAACAAAACTAATCTGTATTTCCATTCCACAAGCAACTGAAGAGAGAGCAACTTCCATGTTAAAGTTTTTTCAGAAAAACTCCAGAGGACCTGAAACTGAGACTGGAGGATCTATCACCAAGCAGCTCGCCTTTCCTTCTAAGTACAGCTGAGGTAATGTGTTGGCCTCTTTCGCAGTAACGCCTTCCGCAGTCCACAAGGTAACATGCGGCCATTCGTTCTTGGAGATTATGGTCTCCCCGTCCACAGATCCGACATGGGCAGTTAGAGCAGCCATCTTGTCGTTGTAGATGAACTCTGTGAGCTCTATAGGTACCTCTCTGTTCAAGTGTTGGCCATAGCTGGCTACAGCTGCTACACCGTGGCTTCTCTTGTGGGCAAGCGTCACGTGACACCGTTCAAGCTTTTCCTGTATTCTCTTTTCCTTTCCCTCTAGAAAAGATCTCACTGTTGGGTGTGCTGCGGCCAACTGGTAAGAAAAAACACTGTTAGCAACAAAGTCCATACATAACCGTGAGTAAATGCATAAGATAAAAGGAAATAATGATGTGTGCTCACTCCTTGACAAATCAGATTTAAGTTTATGATATTTCAGCCTTTAGTTATTGACGGTTTTCAGAGCTCGTGTCTCAATAATCTCAAATATGAAATAAGATTCTTATTCTTTTTTTCTTTTTTTTACGGTAGTTTAAGAATTGATTGGTTACCGTTTCAAGAAGACTATGAACTTGAGTAGCAGGCAAGTTGATGGCAGCGAAAACAATAGACCCATGTTTTGTTTTCTCTGAACTTGGAGGTTTGTATTCACCCTTTGCGATTCTTATGAGCTCTTCCCGCACTTGATGAACTGCAGACTCAAATGGAACCTGAAAGTTGCAAACCAGAAAACAAAGACATTATATGCAGTTATGCTCATCCCTTCTTCTTGTGATATTTTATCATGTGCTGAAGAATATCGAAGCAGCTAAAATACTATAGCATGGCTTTGTAGCTTTTCATGAACCCTAAATGACAAAGTATCTTTTACCTGAATATAGTTGAGATATTCAGAATTTGCAACTAAAGTATCTCGTAGTTGTTTCTCCCATTTGGTCCATTCTGCTGCATATGTTCCTTTCGTTGACTCGAGTCTACAGCAAGAAAAATCAGAAGGGAAACAGGTCAAAAGCAACCAAACTGAAGCTAGATCAGAAGAGATGAAGTAGAGAACTTCAGAACAGGAAATAAAAACGTCTGTGAGCATACTCGTGTGTAGGATTTTTCCAGTAACATGATACAAGTAGGTTTTTGATGTCTTCCTCGTTAGTTTTTGCTAATTTGTTGCTATTGCCTACCATTTGTTACTGTTAGGACATACGCTGTTGTTTAGAATATAACATGATGAACAAGTTTTGGCATAAAATACTTCAGTTTAACATAATTCATCTTTTCGTCTAAAATAGTGGTGTTGTCTACCCACCTCCCATGTCTTCTACTGTGGAGACTGAACAAATCTATGCCCTCCTCAAGAACTGATTTGACAGGATCAGGAATAGGATTCCTGTATGTGCGCAAAGAGAAGTCAATTACGTGGTTTACCAAATATATACGAAATTGCAATTTGTAGCTGTGCCAAGTTCGAGTTTACTAGGTCTCATGCGATTTCACCATATACCTATCTATTTTCAACAGTGGCATCTTGACGAGGGAGCCAAAACGCTCAATTAATTCACTCTCAAATTCCTTACGGTTCTGAAAGTAAAAGACTGTTCAGTTAAAAGTGAGATCAAATCATAGATATACTTAAAGGAAAGTTGTGGTGTATGTGATAGTACCTTTCCCTCATAAAGGTGATAAAACATCAATAGCACATAGCCTGCATTTATAGATGCCTTGTCGAGCTTTCCCTAACAATATACATTGCATTTGAATGGAACGATAATTTGTTAAGAAGTTTAGGATTGTGATGAAAGTTGGATGATGCAGTTGAAGATACTGTATATAAGATGCAACTGTATACCGGATGGTTAACTCGTTGAAGTACACGGAATATGAAAACAGCCAAGGCATCAAGTGAGTATGGATTTGTATCGGTTCCTGTGCGGTCATAGAGGGCCAAAAGGATATATCACGCAAAAGATCACAAATAGTACAGAGGATGAGATGAGGCAGTAATTGCAAAAAGTATAAACTTCTAACTATACCCTTTTGCAAGAAAATTGAGTACCTTAATATGCCCATATTTAAACAGCCCACAAGGTGAATGAAATACAGCAAAGGATGAATCATAATTACATACCTTCAGATTCAGCAACGATTGGAACTGCAGAAGCCCTAGTTCTCCGACACATGTCTTCGATCTAATAGGGCAATACAAGAATAATAGTGGAATTATATCAGGTCAGCGACTAACAAAGCTTTAACAATACAAGCTATGCACATATATATTTATTAAAGGCAGGTTACAAGTAGTCATATTGTCTCCGGTAAACCAAGCACACATATAATTACCTGTCTCCAGACATCTTCATTTGGGGCATTTTTATCAGCTAACATAATCGATTGTGGTTTTTTACGACGTTCATCAGCAACCTTTGGCCAATATTTTCCTGCCCAGTATGTAAATCATTGCATGAGATGGCATACTAAAAGTGAGAGACCAGAGCACCAAAAAGAAATCCCTACACTTTAAAATACCTTTGACAAGATCACCCATCAGGGTGTGCACTGGCCGATCATCTCCAAAGCCTCCTGGGGAGTTTAATAACTCCTTGCAAAGTGCAGATTTAGCACAACCAGGAATCCCTGAGAACACATTAAAATTGTAAAAATCAGAAGAAAACAGATTAAAGGATATATTAAATCAAGCGACATATAGAAACTATACCACCATTCCCATTCTCCCATTTCTGGTCAGAAGTAAAAAAAAAAAGACGTCATCTATGACTAATTTCTTATCATCTGGATTACTAAAACAATTATCTATAATCTATTGAAGCTACTACTGACTACCATAATAAGTTCAATACAAAATATTTCCACAAAAATAAAAGTAAAACAACCACTAAGAATACATGAGATAATATATAAACAATGCAAATGGAATACCTGGAAAGAATACAATTAACCCCTCATCCTTGTGGACAGCTTGATTCACAGCTGGCTCAGGAGTAGCTGGTGTTACTCCTTCCTTCACAATATCGCCTTCTTCATCTAGATCACCGTCAACAATGGCCAAGAAGTCCTCAGTTCTCACTAGGTTCCCAGCAGACCCAATCAAAATCTGATTTCTTGGGCTTTGTTTCGCGTACTGTTCCAGGAATGGCTCAGCTTCACTTAAGTATGTTGATGAAGATAGCTGATCATTCCCACACTTTCTTCTTATGTAAGCAGCCCTAAACATTGTGACAAGAAGAAGAAATGCTAATCGAGATTCAAAAAGCTGAGAAAATATTAGACAAGAGGCAGCATCTAGGCAATAGGTTACAGATTTTCTCAGGAATAAGTTATTGACAAAACTATATAAGCTTAGTCTACATGTGTAGAGTTAGTGTGATTCTGGTACCATTCATCAAGCATCTTGCAAATTTCTTTCTGCTTTCCATCTGACGTACCCCAAATTTTCATTTGCCTGGATGCATAAACATCAATAATATTAGAAGAAAAACTCCAACTAAAGCTTGATCACGTCAGCTCATGAATAATAAAAAACATAATGACCATGGCCCCTTTTGTTTACATTGCAATGCAAGCTAACCAAAATCCGGATTACCAAAAACATCACTATAACATTTGACACATCATTCTCTATATAAATTCATAGGGAGAGAGCAGCTCACCTGAGGTAGTAGGTCTTGTAAGCTGCTGGCCCCTCTTTAAATAGAACTGATAGGCCATTACGGATCAAAAAGGTTCTCAACTGTAAAAAAATTGAAGATATGTCCAACATCAGGATACTAATGCAGTAAAAGATGTAGGAAATTGCAGCAAATCACACAAATCCCTCTAGCCAGACGAAAAATACCTTGTATGTAAGAAACTTCAACTTGATCATTAAGTTAGCATCATCATCAGCCAAACCATCATTTCCTCGTTGACCATCATTTTCACTGGCATCTTTGACCGCATTATCAATGCTTTTAAGAGCCATCAGATCGTTCCCTTTATTTGACTTGAACAAATTAATATCAACAAAGAAACCTGAAAAGAAAAACAAAGATCACTAACTAATACAGTTAAACTATGGCAATGGTCTATAGAGCAGAGTTTTCAATTGTCCAATAAGTCTTTGTTTACTGATAACTATGTAGGCTAGCAAGTAAATCTGAAACATCCAACAAAGTTATATTTCACAGAGACTAGCAAGTAGCAACTGTGGAAAGTAGAAACGAAATGCCAAAATTATTGAACTCTAGCAAATGAATCAGAATTGGTGCCTAGTCATGGAATTTTAGAGGAAAGCTAAAGAATAAGAAACTAATACTTACCTCGATATAAAGGCCACAAACTAGGTGTGTGCCTGAAACACAGTAATTAATATTATTCAGTGAACAAAATCAATACATTCTTTGTTTGATAAAACTGAAAGACATAAGCAACTAGAGATGTCTTTAAGGATAACCTCATCTCTTTTTGGTAACGCCTAAATCCTGAATCGCTGTGCACATGGACAACTAATTTATAGAATAGGTTGTCAGACGAAATGTCGTTAGCTCTATGAAAATTATGGTAACACTTGAATGCGACTGGAAGACGCTTTTCCTTCATCAAGCGTACCATTTCCTATTTAAAAAAAAAAAAAATCAGCTTCTCATCAAAACTCAAAAGCACACAAATAAATTCGTAAATATTAACCACATGAAAGAACTCTTCAAGTGAAAATATATATGAACACTTCAGCGATTCGAAATCAACAAAGACATAGATCTCAAGTTACCTGTAATTTACTAGTTGAATAATCTACAGGCTGAGATTGCAGGAATTTTGTTATAACAGATTTGTCAGCATTTTTCGGATGAGATTCATCTCCAAACCAATCCAAGTCACTGGGGCAAAAACTTGGCCCAACACTGCTTAAAAGTGCTCTCATTTGCTACAGCACAACAAACAATGAATAAGGACCCTCTAGAATGATAAATCTTTATCAAGAGATGGTAGCATAAGGATCCCACTTATCAAAGCTAGTCAAATTTAAAAATTTCTTTTAGACCTGTTTCTCATTAGATCTATGGGAAGCACATATATCTCTTAGACTGAGTCCCAGATCAAGATTGGCTGAAATATTAAAAGCCAGGGAATATAATTTTAAAAGTTTACATGGACTTGATAGAGAGGATTATCATGAAAACTGTAAATATTAAACAATGATAAGATGGTGCACCTCCATCACAGGGTGGTGGAGGATGATCTTTCATGACATTTTCCATTTCTCTGGCACTCTGACTGCTCACGATACGCGCAACAAGACCCTCTAATATCTCACCCTGCACCTTAACATGGTCCTTTGAGCCTGCTTATTTTCATCCAAAAAATATTCGTCCAATGTATTTCATCAAGTTGAATTCCTTAAAAAACTAATATGAATTCTCCAAATAACAGAAGGGAATACCAAAAAAAAAGCATTACCTGGAACCGAAATATCAGCTACTTCATCAAGAGCCTTACAGACTGAGGTTGCTATCCCTTCTTCACAGAGTGCATCAAATGCAGCGAAAAAAGAGGTCACTGATCTCCTTCATAAATTTTTTAACAAAATACATGAAACCACCATTATTAAAATTTCAATTATCCCGACAACAAGCATCTAATAAAAAAAAGCTAGGGATAGTGTGCATCCAAAACATATCAGCATCTATTTCCTCTTAGGGTCAATAAATCTATAAAGGTTGATGGATTTTAGACCGGTAAATGTATTGACCAGATACTATCAGCACATTCTTACAGTATAGTTATGCAAATGTGTCTTTCAAACTAAAGAACCAATATTATCCCGAGATATCAAAACTTCATCAAGAGAAACTCAAATTTCTTGGAACGGAATATTAGCTAGAAGTAATTGTTGCAATGAATAGAAAGTGATTAAGTTACCTTGTGGAAAACAGCCACACGTGATTTGTTGGTAGACGCCATTTCCGGCAAAAAGCAATAAGTTCAGAAGTTGAATAGAACTTGGGCTTACTATTACCTAACTCGGTAACGGCCGTCACTACCACTGCAAGATGTGAATCAACATTTTTTTTGAACAGAACATCTTTAGCAGACTTATTTGACTTTCACAATTAAGGAACATCATAAATACAAAAAACCTCACCATAATCATCCAGTGGGCGTTGGCCATGATCTCCAAGAACAGCAGTTACCAGTTCCATAGATATGCACATGCGATTTTCCTGGGTGAAAATGACTTCTTATGAGCAATTGATTAAGCCTCGGGCAATTGAGAATTTGGGCTGTAAAGTTCTGTCCACGATATACCTCAAGAAAATCATTAAACTCTGCCTCTTTCTCTGGAGCCTTAGTTCCCCAAGCCTCCCTGAACATTCGTGAAAGAACAAAAACACCAACCGCAGTATAACTGCAAATGAAATATTGGGTTAGCATATGATAAAACCGTTTGGCCGCTATCTCAGTTTGCAAACACCATAAAGATTTACATAACATCATAAATGAAAAATAGTAGTAAAATGCATTTTTCTTCATTAACAATGTTTTCAAAATATATCTGTAGTACACCTTTTATGTGGTATGGAATCTTTATCCATAAACGCAGCATGAATACCATCAGCGAACAAACAAAACTTCAAAAAGAGAAAATATAAGATATTTCGGTGGACGACTAACTATGAAACTTAAATGAAAAAGTAATCTATGTTCTAAGTAAAGATGAATGAAAAGCGTAAACCAAATCTAAAGCTTGAGTTTGGGTTTATTGATTGGGTTTTTTTCTAAGATTCTTTGTGAAGAACTGATCAATAATTAAGGAAAGAATGACTTAAGCTAAGATTAAATGAGCTTACATATTACCAAAGCTGTTCTTTGCATATGCTCCCCCATTGTGACCGGCATACATAAAGAGAGAGCCTGAATGCTTTTGAGATACCTGTAAAAGGTGCATTACAACAGGTTTGTAGACAGTTAAAAACTTCAGAGTGTCAATAAAGATGTTTAAATATAGGGTGTTGTTGATACCTCCAGTGTTGCCAATCCTTTAGATACCATCTCAATCATTCTTGTTCTTATCTGTAAATCAAGATAGGCGTAAATAAAGCTAACTAACAATAAGTGCTACAAACAAGAAGCAGTCACAGAAAGGGCACTATAAAGTGTACCTCTTGGTCAGTCTTTTCGTTCTCAAATTTTGGATAGAAAGTGGCTCTGATCTGAGCATGACAGTAAGTCGATTTGTCCACTGTAAAATTTTCCAAGAATTTACCTCCGCAAAAATTGCTTAGATTAAGACCAGCTTTTGGATTTCCCGAAAAACATGTCTGTGAGACAGCTGACGTTTTACCAACTTGTATTGCCGATGATGATCCACTAACTGTTCCACATGACTTAGGCTTCCACACTAGATTTTGAACACTTTTGTTGCTTGCACTTTGACTTGGTAAGACTGGAACCTTAGTGTTGCTTTCCCCAAGACTCAACCCACCAAATTGATTGTTTACTGCTTCTGCAACAACAGATACCGAATGATCACTGGATTTAGATGGAGCATCCATCTCCGTTTTTAATTGCCACTTATGCTCTGCGTGGCTTCTCTTTTTCTGCCAACAAGGAATAACATAGAAATAGTCAAGTCCTGTATTGGATACACCCAAAAGCAACAATAAACTCTCACAAACCAAGACTTGAAGACATATAAAGTTCCAAATTTTTAAGATACAAACTCAGCCTTGTTTCCAGATAATCAAAAATCCAAAGTCATATATATTACTGAACCACAAACTAATACATTGTCTACAAAGCAATCAAATCCCAGAAAGTGCAGATTTTTCGATAAAAATTTTAGGCAATCGGTATACGAACCTGCTTCTTAGGCATATCTGAGAGAGAGAAACTGTTAAGAGAACGAGCAAAGGTAAGGTAAGGAGAAGAAGATGATCGGAGAAGCGAGGAGGTAGGAGAAGAGATGTTGAGAGAGAAAGCGAAGAGTGTTCTCTGAGGAACTGACGACATATACACGTGGCTTATAGTGGTGCGAACCACGTAAAATATAACATCAAGAGGAGATGGCGGCGACCAAGCTGTGAAACCGGCGGGACGACGACGGAGTTAAGAGTGGGGATATGTTATGGTACGGGAAAGAGCACCGTAACAAACAAAAAAAAACAATTAACACCGCTGATAAATGGGCCTTAGATGGGCCGTTTCATAACAATCCAATTGAGAAGGAAGTTTCAGCAGAGGAGTTAGTTAGTTTTACCTCAAGGATTGAATAGAAGAAGAGTCTCCAATGTAACTGCGTAAGAGCATGTCCAATGCTAAAATTGTAAACAAAATTTCTTAGCATTATTGTAGTAAAAAAAGTACAAGTTTTGAAGTTAAAACTTTTTTGAAAATGAAAATAAATATATGCCTCCAATGGTAGAGTTCTAAATTAAAGTTCTTAAGATTATTTTTGAAAAACTTGTTTTATACAAACTTGATATACAAGAAATGACACAGACCATAGAGTTGGTGTTGTTGGTGATCTCGGCTTGTGGGTGTTGCTCTCGGCTTGTTGGTGTAGAACAGAAACTGAAAGAAGAACAGCAATTCAAAGACAGAAACCAAACAAGAACATAACTCAAAACCAAACTCAAACTCAAACTCAAAGAAGAGCATAACAGAACCTCAAAGAAGAACATATTCAAAGAAGAACAGAACACAAACTCAAACAAGAACAGAACAAGAAGCTGAAGCAAACATTGAAACCGGTTACATTAAACAGAAACTGAAGTAAGAACTCAAAGTACAGAAACTGAATAGATGAACTCTATATCATACCACACACAACCGATTCATAATCAATTTATTAGTTAGCTAAACTCTAACGAGATTTAAAAAAAAAAGCTAGGGGGAAACCAAATACATACAACAGTTCACAAGTGAAGAAAATTAAACTAAACAAAATCAAATAACAGATCTTTCTTCCATTCATAATCAATTCACTAATAATGACAGATGATTGAGCTAATAGCAGAAGCATTAATTATCTGTACTAGGAAAGAGATCTATCAACAAAATAAAACGAATGAAGCCATCGTAGCAAACCCAGATTTTTTATCAACAAAATACAAAAAATAATTTTCAAATCCCTAATTAAAAAAACAAACGAAATCAAACGATCGATTCAAAGAATCGTACGGTCGTACCTATCTGTTTCTCGATTCTGTGTTCTTTAGTTTGCCCATCGGCGACGAGAAGAGAGTGAGAGAGATATCGAGAGAGTGATCGTTGTTTCGACAAGAGAACGAGAGAGAGATATGAGTGTTTTTATTTGTTTGCAAGTCTTTCATGGGTTTTTTTTTCCCAAACTCAAGCCAGTCACAATTAAACACGTTTCAATAAGAAACACACACAAAAACTGTTAGCAAGAGACATTTCTTACACTAATTATGATTATTGATTTATTTTTTGGTACTTTATTCCTAAGAAATAGCTTAACATACTTGGGTTGGACATGGTCTAATTAGTAAACGACTAGAGTATGTATCTCATAAAATCAAATACCAGTAAAGTTCATAAGACTAAAGAAGATTACTTTTAGGAGGGGGTATTGGACAAAAGAATATGAGAGAAATTAAAAGAAAGTTGAATTCTGCTGTTATTCAAAACAACATTTTATAGATTCTTTTAAATTCATGTGTTATTCAACGAAGTATATTTAAACATTCTTTTAAAATAATTTGAATTCCAGTGTTATTGAAATTGTTAATTTCTTAATTCTATTAAAATCAAGTGTTATTGAATGTTTTGTAAAATTTTATAACAACATGAATTATCGAGAATTTAATAGAAAACTATGCGTAAAATGTAAAGAAAAGATTCTGAGGTTTTGGGGTGAGATTTGGATAGAAAAAAATATCGTGGACAACATTGAACTCTATCATCTCGTTCCAGCCTTGAACTCTGTTTTTTTTTTTTCCAAATCTAGGTCTGGGTCTCTACACCTTTGAACGTTACGTGAGAATCTTTGTCACTTTGATACGTGGTGTGTGGGATGTGCACACATTAGAACTGAACTGATCACAAATTGTTTTTAATCCACAAGCTTATTATGATGAGATCTCATCTCTAATCCATGTTAGATTTACGACTTATGTCGTTGATAGCCAATGTGTGGTTTTGATTATTGGTTTATTAGATAATGTGTGGGGTTTTGGTTTGAGTGAAATTTCAAGATCTGATACAGTTTCGTGTGAGTTGTGTTCTTCAAATTTCTGGGTAATTATCAAAAGCTTGCATTGGTTTGTCAACTCTCCAACATTCGCTTAGTGGGAACGAAAGATAAATTATTGAAGAATTAATATGTTCTTTTCGTCGTGGCTTTTTAATTGAAATATAAGAATTGATATTCTGTTCCATTCTGTTAAAAATCTTTTGCAATACTCTAAAATCTATAGCTTATGTCTTCAATTCCATTATATTCTATTCTATCAAATTCTCTCATCCAATACCCCCTCCTAAGGACAATGCACAGATACAAACGGAACCCTGTAATACGACCGGAGTAATCGGAATCATGAAGAATTCGTCGCCCGACTAACACAAGCTACTGAAAACCCTAGATTAACAAAGTATATATATAGACTTAGCGAAGAACCCTAGAATTGCCAATGGAAAAGCCCAAAAGCTTAGAGATATGGTTTAGAGTTAGACAAGTGAACTTACGTGGTGGCGATGGAACCTTCAGCGCGAGTACCGATTCTGATCTACCGTCGTGTGAAGTTAAGCTCGCCTATGATCTATGGAAAGAGAGATTTGGAGCAAACAAGTCGGAGGATCGGAGAGAAAATTATAAAATCGACAATTCGTAACAGAAGAAGAGATCTAACCCCTTATGCTTACGGCGAGGTTTAGTCTTTTAGTTAGGCCTGCGACTTCGGTTTTTTCGGGTGTTTCGGTTTCGGTTTCTCGGTTTTTCGGTTAATTCGAAAAATGAATACTCTTCCGAAACTAACCGAAAATGACTTCGGTTCGGTTCGGTTCGGTTCGGTTCGGTTCGGTTCGGTAAAAAAAACTCGGTTATTTCGGTAAAAAAAACTCTTAAAAAAAAATAAAAACATCAAGAAAACGAAGAATCACACAACGGGCGGTGAGATCTGAACGATGGAGCTCCTAGTATCGATCTGAAAGGCGAAGAAGATGATGAATTGATGATGATTATGATAATAAAAGACATAAATCGAAAGAAGATGGTGATGATAATGATGAAGAAAGAGAAGATAATGGTAGATGGAAGAGGATTAGGAAGAAGAAGGTGATGATAACGATGAGTGGATGATGAATGAAAGAGTAAGGAGAAGATAATGATGATGAACTGAAGTAGAAGAAGAAAAAAAAGATATGAGGAAGAAGAAGAATCGTGGTTGCCCAGAAGAAAAAAATAATAAAGCAATAAAATGACTCAAACGAGGAAGAAGGTGAGAAGAATGACGGCTAGACAAAAATATTAGGTTAGGGTTTTCTTCTTTTCCGTTAACTGTTCGGTTCGAACCGGTTATGATCAATTAGTATGAACCGAACCGATTTGTCCAAATCTCGGTTCCGTTCGGTTCGGACAAATCGGTTCGGTTCGGATTCCCAGGCCTACTTTTAGTCATCGCCGTAAGAAAAAATAAATCGACTATCGCCTGAGGAGGGTGGCAAATATAAAGACGTTTTTGGCACTGCAGTGGTTTAAAACGGTTTAATCGATATCCGGTGTACTTGCCGGTTTGAATCTATTTATATTAATTGACCCCTTATACTAATAAATTATATCATAATTATTTGGAGTTTTTCCCTTTCGGAAATGAATTATCTGAAAATTCACCATATATATTATACATTTTTGTGTGCTAACTAACCCTGCATGCGTAAAGTTACTAGAGAGGGCTTTAAAGTGTAGTCGTCAAAAAAACTTAGTAGTGATCGATCGTGATCATGTCCAAAGAGGATCCCACCACAACATTGATGAGTTGGTGTTAGAGTTGTCTTCAAGGAATCCCAAATCATTGCTCTCAAAGGACATATTGTCTTGTTCTTGTTTCTGTACTTGGTCCATGTTGTAAATCAACTCTAGTAAACTTGATCTTTGAAGTTGCACATTCACCATCTCCACTTGAGCTTTCGCAAGCTGTGCTTGTAGTTCACTGACTTGTCTTTGTAGATGGTATATGGCACCCGCACATCCATACACCGGATCTCTTATTCTTGCTTCTGCTTCATACACCATACTTCTCACCGCATCAGCTCTTTGTGATTCTGGAAGTTCCTGACAAAACATACCATATATATATAGATATATTAACCAATCATATGATTTGGGGAAGCAAATTATCGTTTGATTTAGCTAGGCTTATGATCAAGACATTATATAAATAATTATACGCTCAGTTCTCTTTTTTTTTGTATTTGACCAAGAAGAGTAAAGACCAAACATTTCTACAAGACTTTGTCAAAAGGTGGATGAAATGGAAAACGTTGAAAATGACATATGTTAGGGGTTATGTGCTGCTAGAAAAAAGATATGTTAGTAGATGAGAACGCATATTTTTGTTATTTTGTTTTCTTGGAAAGAGTAAGATATGGAATACTTTTGCTGAACATGGAGGAAGTTGTTTGACATTACATCGATCACAAATAATTGCAACCAATAATTAATTTTAAACAGATAGTTAGCAGCTAGCTAGGTACGTACCTGCAAGAACTTAATGATGTTGCTGGCTCCAAAGACGCGGTGGGCGATAGTGAACTTGGCCGGATCCGTTGGAGGGAAGTACGGTGCCAAAACGCATTTATCAGCGCAACGCCGCCTTAGGATTTTGCAAGCAGCGCATGGGCTGAGCACTACCCGCGGTGGTGGAGGAGATGAAGAAGAAGAGATGATTGGAGCGGTAGCGGCAGAAGCATCACCATTCCTCTCCATATCAACTTAGGACTAATTAATGTTTTTTTAAAAAAATTGATAAATTTGTTAATATAGATAGCTAGAGAAAATGTGTAATTAAGTAGAGTCTTTTTGAGAGGTGAAGTGCTTTTTGGTTGGGAAAATAGAGAGAAGTGGTATATATAGGGAATGAGATGTAGGGAAGGAGGTGACCACCTTGACATCACAAAGCTCGAATTCTGACGTCAATATTTTTGTTTTGGTTGGAAGTTAAAACACATATTTTCACATTACGGTGGCTAACTAAAATTCCTCCACGCTTTCATGTTTCAACGGTTTGCTTGACTTTGGTACAATTTTAATTTTCTCCTCTTCTTGATTTTTCTCCAAAACGTATTTTTTAAACTAGGTCTCTCTAAAAATCATTAGTAAGTCAATTGGTATTCTAGCTTCTCTTTATGTCTTACATTCTATAATAGTCTTCCTACATATGAAGATTCTAGAGATTCCAAAATCACTGAAAAACATTATTTTCTCTTTGTAAATATCTTTGGTATTTCCTTATTTTATTATATCTTTGCTATAGAATTCTTACAATGTACATTAATATAGCAATGTGCCTTGCTTTTGAGTAATACGTACTACAATTTGGAGAGAACCCATGCATATTTAAGAACCTCAATTGAACTGTATTACTATTAGGCTTAGGTACGTAGTTTCGTTTTAGGTCCTCTATATATAAATATATATCTAGATATTTCAATTTGTATAAAAGATACATGCATGATGCATAATAATATAATGTAGCTTATCTAGTTTGATTATCATTTTAATTCACTGCATGCTGACTTGTAAGTCATTCGTAAGTACTGATAGAGAAATTAACACAAACGGCCAAGTGATTTATTTTAGGTTGCCTAATTTTTGCTGAAACGTATTTTGTTTTTATTAACGATTATTCTTGGGGATCATTATATATATATTAGTTATTATCTATCGTCTAAGACTTTTCTGTGTTTGAAAGACTTATTACACACACACGAAATTTTCCCCAAATTAAAATCAACCTTTTTATTCGTCTGTTTATATTATATAAGCAGAAGATGCAAAACTGCGTTTAAGTGTCGTTTAGAAAATATAACTCCGAGCTGTCCCAAAACATCGATTTATTTTTCAATTGTGCAGTCGACGTCACGTACCAACATTAAGAAGAAAAGTTATAAACAAATCAAATAGAGCAAAGACACGTAGCGAGTGAGATTGTTAGCTAAAAGAGTTATTGGGTGTGCATTCTCTTGCTTCCACCTTCGACAGATTGCTATCTCTTTCTACTAATACTTGTACGTACTCTCAACAAAAGATCTTCTTCTTGTTTTCTTTAGAAAAAGTTGTGATTATGTATGTTTTTACAGAAAGTTATTTTTCTATTACTATGTAAAATCTCGCAGACCTCAGTCACCTCACTAGAGCAAAGCCCATTCAAATACGTTAGACTAGAGAACAATTCCTCTAGTTTGGTGTAAAAAAAAAAAACATCGAGTTTTATGATAAGTTTCTGAGTGGGAAATAAAAAAAACCATCAAATTCTTATAAAGTAATGTTCTTTATTCATTCAATTGGTCAAAGATAGTCATTTGCATCGTGTACACTAATTTGATTTGTTTAGTCCAAATCTCAATAAATACAGTAAGTCTAATAGTGTCGTCATCATTATCCTCAGATCATATCATATCATCGATACAACCTTTTTCCTCCAATCATATCTTTTTGGGCCATCTTTTTTCAACACATCCTGTGCAGTTAAATTATTTCTATCAAATCGTTAGACTGGAAAATTTATTGATGAGAGATTCCACTAATGTTGGAATAGAGACAAGAAAATTGGACTCGTTACGTGTGCGTTTAGTTACTACTCATACATTAAGGTACGTAATTTAGACTCTATATTTGTAAAAGTATATCAAGTGCACCTTTTTTTATATATAGAGATACGCATGATTCTTTAGAGTATATATAGGGTCATGATATACTTGTTGACTTTGGTCTTTAAGAGTCAAATTCTTTTGGATTATAGAATTTGTAAGAGATTCCCTCCAAAAGAGGGAAAATACATTACATATAGAGGTTGCCAAATGTACGTACCCCAAGCCGCCAAGCCACGGCCAAACTATAATATATTGATTACAAATAATCATCTGTCGACCAAAATAAAATCTAATGATGTAACCCTAAGTTTCTCTGTGTACCGAATAAATGATATATTTGACTCATTAAATATGATTGCTAAACTTTCTCGGTTCGTAGAAAAATAATTCGTTAGCGTTAGAAGGTAACGAAAAAGAAGCTAATGATTAAGGATTTCTCAGAGCATAGTAATGATGATTAAGGCCAAAGCTATGTCTCTCTTTCTATAAGATCACTCACCGAGTCACCGACATATATACACCCACTATATAAAAATTGCGAGACAAAGATCTCTCAATTAGGGTAATTAGGAATAAGAGAATTTTTTTGTTTTTTTTTGTTTTTTTTTTAAAGTAATAAGAGTGTTTTAGCTTAAACCAAAGTGTTACTACTGAGTGCAGCTAATAATATTTGTTTTTGTTAATGATATAATATTGAGTCTACAAATTATATATATAGTTTTTCATAGTTATTTTGTTATGTGCATCTATTACTTTAGGCAGTTTTATAAGATTAAATTATATATTAGATAGTTGGATGTATAAAATGGCAAACGAATAAATCCTCTCCACTATAGTTCCAATCCAAATTGGATGATAGCAACCTTATAAGTTAGCTCCGAGTTAATTACTTAATTAATTATGAAAAAGTAAAAAAAAAATAAAGATGTTGGTATCCAATTTTTTTTTTTTTAAAAACATTAGATATTGTAGTGATGAGTGTTTTACAGTCTTAAACAGTCTTAAAAAGCTTATTTTATTTCTATTTTTTTTTTTGTCTTTTAAATATGATGAGTGTTTGTTACTTTGTTCTTTTGAAGCTATAAAGTGCTTTCAATTTATTTTTTTCTGGTTAAAGTAAAAGACAACATTACAGTAAAACAAAACAAAACCAAAAAAGACAGAACGAGACCCACACGCATGAAAGAGGAGCTTAGTAAAATGTTAATGTGTTTTCACAAAAGAAGACGTCAGTCCTCTCCTTCACATCTATCTTTGTCGCTCCAGTCTCATATTTTCTAAAATATATTACGATTCGGTTATTCAGAGTTTTCCTTAGATAAGAACAAACATTGAACTAGGATTATGATTAAGATTTACGATTCGGCATTAGCCACTTTGGTTATCACACTGACATCATAAGCCAGAGGCCGAAAGCCATCCGCCCGTCTTTCAACTAAAGCATCGCGGTCCAACCTTGTGATCAACATCAACTGAATCAGCATATTCTGCGTCTCCTTTTCAGTCTGTTGCATTTGGTGATCAAAATTCGTTGCGTTAGACTTGTTTTAAATTTGGGTTACGGTTAAATGGGTTTGTATCTTATTGTTTTGTTGGGTGGAGGCGGTCAGGCGGAGCACTACAGTTTACAGCAGCTTTGTGTTACTCAGGCATATATGAGAGAAGTTAATTTTATTATAAATGTCTAACCAGCAAAAGCGCAACGGATGTGTCAAATCACAACCCATCGAAAAAACAAGATACGCAAATCCGAGAGTACATTAAGCAATCATATGACAAAGTTCAAACGTAATGCGACCCCTCCGGCCCCCAACCAAAAACAGCCATTAGTCTCGGAGACACAGACACACGTACGCCACCACCTTAAGCATCAGCAAACCTGCAACCAACAATACAAACTCAAATCATACCACTGAATTAATATTTACTTTCTAATGATTCAAAGATTCATGATAAGTACCCAAGCTCAGAAAGCTTCATGTGGGCCTCAGCGTAATCAGCGAAGAAGGCATCTTCATCCTGTTCACATTTTCATAAGAAACCATTAGTTCTCTCTCTCTACCAAGTGAAGCACATGGAAAGGAGAAAGGATGCTTACAGCAGCGTATTTCTCGACTAAAGGACGGAAAACAGGGTCGTCCAATAGTGCCTTGTCAGAGACAAGCTGAAGAAGCCCTTCCTTCTCTCCGCTCAAGAGTTCCCTGGTCATATTTACTTTGATTAATAACCATATCAACCATTGAATAATCCTACATCTATCAAGGGTGTGGATACTTGGATACTCACTTGAAGTAAGAGTTGTCGAAAATTAGAGGGTTTGAAGTCCAGGCACCTTCGAAGCCAGACCTATCCTTGTGGCATCTTCCCTGTGTTAACATAAGTTGCAGGCACTGATTACAGTTTGTACAATTGGAACAAAAAAAAGTGTCCAGGCAATTGGAGAGAAACAAACCAGAGTGTGGGCACCAGATAAAGCGACAATGTCCTTGTCAGATAATCCCATCTGCTTACTAAAGACATCTCTCAAGTGGTCACAACCCTTAGTTGCATCAGGAAGACGACCCTCTGGAGGTGGCTGGGGCTTGTCCTGAAAGCAAGATATGCACGTTAGCAACACAAAATCAAGTCTCTCAGTAGTGAATAGTGATAGAATGACTACATTATCCATTAGCTATCTAGACAAAGAAGCAGACAGCATTCTGTCGACTAATTGAGCATATGATAAGTATAGTCATGGTAAACAAATCCACAGCAAAGACTAACCTCTCTTCCAGGGTGGAAAGGAACATCAGGGCCACCAGTAACTTCAACGGCCACAACACCAGCAAGCTGAATGATCAATTGCACACCAAAGGAAACCGTGAGTTAGAAACCAAACCCTGGAGTTATGACCAGAACCACTAAGCAAACAGTTTTTGTAGACTTGATCATGTACCTGATGGAAATCAGCAAAAGAGATGGTTGGGAATTGCTCCCTGATGGGTTCCAACAACCTAAGAGCAATGTGGATACCACTGTTGGCACCATGAGCTTGCTCAGCATCGAACCTCATTGTTCCAAAGGGACCACCAGTCCTTGAGGCGCAATCGAATGTACCAGCAGAGTGCCACCTGCAGTTTAGCCAAAACAGAACAGCCATGAGAAGGTGTTGCACATCCTTAAATACATCAGAAACAGCAAGCAGATAAGTTTAGTTACTTACGCGAGTCGGACCATGATGGGTGCACAGTTCTTCTCAGCGATCATGCCTCTCAGCTTCCTCTTGCACTTCTCAATAGCCTTAAGGTAATCTTCGCTCACGGTTGGGTAGTTCTTCGTCATCTTAGCTAGAATATGGTACAAATACACAGATTTTAGTACATATTCACACAAATCAAATCCAAAAACAGACGTAATCCAACAAAGAAGACGTATGTATAACAAAACAACCTATGAATCACACAAACAACAAGAGCCTCTAAAAACAGCTTCACACGAGTGACAACCCCTAAATCAATCACTAATAAATAGCAGCAAACTACAGGACGAGTGAGCTAAAATAAGCCAAATCCCTCAAAAAAACTTTCATCGATTCTATAAAACTAGCCAAGAAACCCAGCGAGATCGAACCACAGAACAGAAATGAGAGAGCTAACATCACAAACGCAGAACGCATCAACAGATCTACTAGGAGAAACACATCGTTCAACTCAGATCAAGCCAAGCATAAGGTAGATTCAAGACGAAAATGGAAGCAGAAACGAGGGATCGAAGGGAGAGAGAGATTTTTTTTGGTTCCGTTTTACCTTTTTCCGAGGAGAGGATAATAAAAAGATCTGAGAAATGCGAGTGGCTGGCACGGGTGAGACACGAGTACTTTTTTATGAGAGCGTTGAGAGGTAGAAGAAATGCGAGAATTATATAGGGGGCCTGTTTCCATGAAGAGAACGTTCTAGTACATCTATCGATGCCGTTGGATGACGGATATCGTGTGGTCAATATATGCACATTGTAATCAACGGTCCTGATTCGATACACGAGCTTAAAATGGACGTTCGGATATGAGGGTTGGTGGGTATATTAGATGGGAAAAGAATAATAATTAGGATATAATTGTCATGGTGCTATTGGCGAAAACATGGCTTCGTGTGGCGGGCCCACTACCGTCGATGTTGATTTTTTTTTCGGGGGTGAAATGACGGAATTAGTCATCGGAGGACTTCTATTGCGAACATGTCTGGCAGTGGTATTTCGGTTATTTCATTCACTCGCAGGTGTGAACGCGTCTCACGCACTTGAAGATTCCGATTTGACTATGGAATTTGGTAACGTCACAGCGGACGATATAGTAGTAAGGTTTCTCACCAATCATAACTAGTCATTAACCAGCTCAGTTTGTTTACTATGATTGTGCACGGTTTGATTGGTTTTCTGCAATTAAGTCTGGTATTCGGAACTTTGAATCGGTTACATTGGTTTATTTAGATTTAGACTAGGTTAAAAATCTCTCTGTTTCATTTCATGGAGACCAAATTCATGACCACTTTGCTTGTCGAAAGATTTTGTTTGGTTGGAAGCTGCTCGATTTAAGTCCTTAACCAGACTGACTTGCTCTCTATCTCTCTACTCGTGTTGTTAACGCAAGTGTGACTAGTAGTATATAACTAGTAAGTAGTTACTGACATCCTTATCTGCTGGTTCTTCTCAAGTATGGTCATTGCATCCTTATCTTTTTCTTTATTCATCAATATTGTGTGGCTTACTTCTTCTTCTTTCTTATGATTTTGTGGAAAATGAAGAAGCAATGTGTGGCTTCTTACAATCACGTTGTTTTTGTAGTTTTGGTAAAGGTTTGGATCATAATTGAGGAAAATGAAGAAGCAATGTGAGAGACCCTTCTTAGGCGACAGTTTCCTAGTATTTTACTCGTATAATACTGAAGGTAATCTGATAGTATACTTCTCTTTTGAAATTCTCTTTTATGATGCAGAAGTCAAGTTTAACCTTTAATAATGATAATAATTCTCATTCAAATTTCAAAGTTCAACGGATCAAATAAAAAAAAGTTTGTCTTTATCTGGTCCACCAAAAGCAAAAGGTGCCACTATTTTCTCTCCTCTTGCCTCACTGCTTTGCCTTTTTAAAGGCAACAACAGCTACTTGAGAGATATGAAACAGTCTTTTCAAACTCGTTTTTTATTTTGATCTTGAAACTTGTCTTGCTCTGAGAATTCTTCCAAAGATAGAAGAGATGGAGAATATGGAAGCTGGAGGAATCTCGACATATGATGGCAGATATATTATGTACAATGTACTCGGTTATATTTTCGAGCTGTCTTCAAAATACATACCTCCTATTCAACCCGTCGGTCGAGGTGCCTATGGCATTGTCTGGTAAGTCTTTATCACTTCAAATCACTCTTGAATACATTCTTAATCTGAATTCATTTCCCTGATTTCAGCTGTGCTACAAACTCAGAGACAAACGAAGAGGTCGCAATAAAGAAGATAGCAAACGCGTTTGACAACAGAATTGATGCTAAAAGAACTCTCCGAGAGATCAAACTCCTTTGCCACATGGATCATGACAATGTAATCTCTTCTTGACTGATCATATCTCTTTTGATGAACACACGCTCACATCATAGTTGACTTATCAGTATGCACACTTTGCTACGCATCAGGTTATCAAGATGAAAGATATAATCGAGCCACCAGAGAAGGAGAGGTTCGAAGATGTTTATATTGTTTATGAGTTGATGGATACTGATTTACACCAGATCATTAGATCCACTCAAACTCTAACAGACGACCATTGTCAGGTGATGATTTGTGGATGAGATCTTTGTCGTTTTTGTCATATCCATTTACATAATGTTTGATATTTTTTTTCCTATCTCAAGTACTTCCTTTACCAAATTTTGAGAGGCCTAAAGTACATACACTCTGCAAATGTACTTCACCGCGACCTGAAACCGAGCAACTTGGTTCTCAATACGAATTGTGATCTTAAAATATGTGATTTTGGGCTAGCAAGAACGTCGAATGAGACAGAGATAATGACGGAGTATGTTGTGACAAGATGGTACCGTGCACCTGAACTGCTTCTCAACAGCTCTGAGTACACAGGAGCTATTGATATTTGGTCTGTTGGCTGCATTTTCATGGAGATACTAAGAAGAGAGACGCTTTTTCCTGGTAAGGATTATGTTCAGCAGCTGAAACTTATCACCGAGGTAAACAAACTAAAACATGGATCCAAAAAGAATCATTTTTCTGTGTGTGTCATTTCTCTGTTTTGGTTTGTTTTTAGCTCTTAGGGTCACCAGATGACTCTGATCTCGACTTCTTGAGAAGTGATAATGCGAGAAAGTACGTAAAACAACTCCCACATGTTCGAAAACAATCATTCAGAGAAAAATTTCCAGACATTTCCCCAGTGGCTCTAGACCTTGCTGAAAAGATGCTAGTTTTCGATCCTTCAAAACGCATCACAGGTATATATCACGTTGTGTAACTACTTTAGATGCTGTAAGTGTAATGTGAAATACTAACAACAATGTTTTCATCTGATGTGGAATTAGTTGAAGAAGCATTGAAGCAGCCGTACTTGGCAAGTCTCCATGAGATCAACGAAGAACCAACTTGTCCTTGTCCTTTCAGTTTCGACTTTGAGGAGACAGCCTTGGATGAACAAGACATCAAGGAGCTTGTCTGGAGAGAATCTTTACACTTCAAGGATAAGTAATCTCCCAAATTCCCACTATCCCCCACAAGTTATAAGAGTCTTAAGACAGAATTGAAAGCTTATTGTTTCTAAGTTGTGGTATAACTGGATTATTCTAGTGTGCATGTGTTTGTTTTGATGATGGTTGGTTCATTCGTTGTGTAATGCGACGAAAGTACTCACCCAATGAAACACCATTAAGCGGTTCCAAATAATTACATCCCAACCAGTCTACAGAAGACCAAGCTAATTCGACCATACTCTGCCTAAATCAAACTAACTTCACCTAATCAATTAGCAAAATTGTTCTATAGCAAACTTTCTTATTCAAACAACTAGCTAGCTATTTGTATATTATGCCGCCAATGTATATATAATATGATAGCCAAATTGAAACTGGACAAAGCAAGTCAACATCATACATATATAATATACATATGTTTAAAATATAAATAAACGTGAAAACATCTCTAGATGAGGCCGTATTGCTTATAAAAAGCCAAACACGTCTTAGTTCCAAATAATTAATAAGCAATATCTTTGTTGAATTGAACCATACCAATTTTTAAAAAATAGATTATGTACCTTTCCTAGTTAAATAAAATTTGAGCTGTCAAACTAAATTCTAATTTAAAGTTATCTTCAATCCAATGACAATTAAAAGTCTAAGATAATTAATCAATGAAATGATTTTTTTTTTTAATAAGAGGGAAATGACTAGGTTTGTTTGAATGTTAAGTTAATGAAACATGGATACACATATCATATTGCTAAAATATAAAAGTCAAAATACAATGTTATTGAAATCCAACATAATGTAAACCAATACAACATTTGTTTTTCTTCCTTTTAACAATAGGGATGCCTAACAATTTGCGAGGAAAACAAGATAAAAATCATATATTTATATTTATGAGTTTACTAGAACTATTTGGCAACAGAAAGCATATATAGCCAACAAAGGATGGTCTGTCAAAAATTAAAAGTCATTTTATTTTTACAACCTAAAAAGGTCAAACGTGTTTTAATGACTACAGTACATATTTAACAAAACAGGACAAGGACAAGGAGTTGTTGTTAATGTAGCCCCTTATTAATAAGCCTTTTTGTAAGGTAAAAAAAATGAGAAAGAAAGATATTTGAAATCTCTCTTAGTTAATAATAATCTTCCGCTGGGGAAAGAAGTAGAAGTAGAAGAACATTGTATTGATTTGGCGACGTTGTACACGTGACGTGACGACGCCAACAGCTGAAACGCGGTCGCAGTTAATCACTGTTTTGAAACCATAAAAAACAAAACATTCAAAAAAATAAAATAAAAAAGAGAACAAAAGCGCGTTGAGTTAAAAACGTGGGACACCCAAGAGGAGGAGTGACGTCCTTTTGGTTTTCAAAACGGTGAGAGTAATTGGCCGTCTACTACTATTACCAACGTGCAACGTCACCCCCCCCCGTAAGGTGTGTGATTCGTGATGACAGATCAACAAAATGAAAATGTTACTGTCAGGTCTAAAATAACCAATTTCATCATCTCTGAATATCAAATTAAAAACCACTAATCTACCATACCTTACCTCCTGTCATACACCGAGTTAAAAAAAAAAAAAAAAAGTGTGTATACAGTAGTTTTCAAGAATAAATGACAGTGTTTATAACTGTTGCACAAAACTACAATCAGAAACACATTTTCTAGGTTGGTTTGTTCAAAAAACTTTTAAACTTGTGGTATAGTCGAATCTCAAATTTATCGGACCATGCAAATTCGAATAATAAACGGTCATTATGTCGCCGCTATAAAGATCTCTCTAACCCAACCATATTAATTCTTGGATATTAATGATCATTTATCATAATAGATTAAATTTTAAAAATAATTCGATGAGAAACTAAAAAGATAGTACTATAATAATATTTTAACAAGAAAGTAAAAGTGATTTTGCTGAAGAAAAAGGAAAAAAGTGATTATCAGTGTGTAATTTATACCAAGTGATAATTTATTTTGCTTAATTTTGGTATAAAATCCAAGTACACAATAAATAGAATTAGATTTCTTCAATCTATTTCTAAAATATGTTATTGTCTTCTTTTTTGATTGTTGCTGTAAGTAAAAATATGATGATACGAGTTGGTATCAGATGACACGAGGTTGATCAGCGCAGTATCAAAATATATTTATCAAGAAGGTGACATCATCATGTTTCAAAAATCCAAAGCTCTCCATTAACAAAACGCCACGTCAGATCGGCGGTGCTAGTTTTCGAACCGGCGGAGAGGTAGATGACAACAAATTTAAAGTTGACCAAAGAAGCTCCCAAGTGCCCTTACGTGGCGTCTCCTGATACGTTTTCTTCGATAGTAGCCGTACGTTTCTGTTCTCTTCAGGAAGAAACATTTGTCTAGACGTGGCTCGGTTTTATTAGACGCGTATGTGTTATGTACCGTGAACCTTGTTGTAGACGATAACTGTACGTTTCTCTTCTTAAAAAGTTTTTTTTTTTATGATATAAAAAAGGTGAAGAAAATTAAGCTTTCTCTGTTTGTCACTAAGCTCTCTCTCTCTCCTTCTTTTTCTCAATTCTTCTTTCTTCTTCGACTTTTTTTTTTTTTAATTCTCTTTTTTTTTTCTTATTGGGTTTTATCTGGGTTTCTGATTTTTTTCCATCAACGAGGAAGGAAGAGGAAGAGAAGGTTTTTAAAGGGGGAGAAAAGCGAATTGCTGTTTTTGCTGCTTCAATTTCTCGATGGGTTGTTTCGGATGCAGTAAGAAATCTAGCAAACGATCGGAGACTAACAATGATAAAGACAAGGATACTTTGATAAATAAGAAAATTGTCGGTGGTGGTACTGCCGTCGCTAAGAGTGATAAGCGAGACGATCAGACTCAACCCACTTCAGGTATGGAGTTATCTTTTACCAAAATCCTTATTCTCTCTCTCTCTCTTTTTCACAGCCTCCCTCTTCTGTGTATGTTTGAGCTGTTGAATTGTTTGGATCGGACTCTTATATTTAGGTGATCTGTATCTGTACATTGGGATGAGTCCTTTTATGGATAATTTGTATGATTTTTTTTCCCTGGTGCATGTGTACTATTCACCATATAAGTGATGTTGGGTTTTACATCCAGTTAGGTTTTGTCTTATCATGGAGGAGACAAAGGTTAAAACTGAGTCTTTTTGGGTCTTTGGTATTGATTTGTTTCTGTTTTGGGTTAAGTCACGCACATGATTTAATTGATTTTATACTTCTTCCATGTGTAGTGGATTCGACAAAAGTCAGTCCATATCGAGATGTAAACAATGAAGGAGCTGGTAAGGAGGATCAGCTATCTCTGGACGTGAAAGGTTTGAATTTGAATGACCAAGTCACAGGGAAGAAAGCACAGACTTTTACCTTTCAAGAACTTGCTGTAGCTACTGGAAACTTTAGATCGGACTGTTTTCTTGGTGAAGGAGGTTTCGGAAAAGTTTTCAAGGGAACTATAGAGAAACTGGATCAGGTACTTGCAATGGTGTGACAGTATAATTCCTATCTTTTTTAATGAATTGGCTGTGATTTGTCAGAGTTTTGAACTGTTGGCTAAACTTCTTTCTGCTAGGTTGTTGCAATCAAGCAACTTGATCGTAATGGGGTTCAAGGAATCAGGGAATTTGTGGTTGAGGTATTGACACTAAGTCTTGCAGACCATCCGAATCTCGTGAAGCTTATCGGGTTTTGTGCTGAGGGTGATCAAAGACTATTGGTCTACGAGTACATGCCGCTGGGATCTCTTGAAGATCATCTACATGGTATGTTGTTAACTCAACGTTTTTGCTCTCTTTTCTCTTTTTGTAATTCCCTAATAAATCCAGAAGATCAGTATCTCATCGACTCTCTGTGGATTGAGGGTTTGATTGCCTTATTGGGTAGGGCTGGGCTAAACAGAGGATATGGTCAATCCCTAGCCGGCAAAAGCCTGTTCTTTGCTTCTGTATTGTTTGACACTGAACTACCCCTTTTTCTCAAACTTAGTACTTGTTTTGTCGATTATCTAAAGTGCAATGTTGTTTTTGACTGTTTCAAGATCTCCCTAGAGGTAATAAACCTCTGGACTGGAACACCCGGATGAAAATAGCAGCTGGTGCAGCAAGAGGACTAGAGTATCTGCATGATAGGATGACTCCCCCTGTGATTTACCGAGACCTTAAATGTTCGAATATTTTGCTTGGTGAAGACTATCAACCGAAACTGTCTGACTTCGGGTTGGCTAAAGTTGGACCAAGCGGGGATAAAACCCATGTCTCCACAAGGGTTATGGGAACATATGGATACTGTGCTCCTGACTACGCTATGACGGGTCAGCTCACATTTAAATCTGATATATACAGTTTTGGAGTAGTCCTTCTCGAGCTTATCACTGGAAGGAAAGCGATTGATAATACAAAAACGCGTAAAGATCAGAATTTGGTGGGATGGGTATGTTCTGTACCTTGGCCGTGTATCAAAATAATCTTTACTGAAACAACACTTATTGTTTTCACGGTTTCTTTACAGGCACGACCGTTGTTCAAAGACAGGAGGAACTTCCCGAAAATGGTTGATCCGTTGCTTCAGGGACAATACCCTGTTAGAGGACTGTACCAAGCACTTGCAATATCAGCAATGTGCGTTCAAGAGCAGCCGAGCATGAGACCAGTGGTGTCCGATGTAGTACTGGCTCTCAACTTCTTAGCCTCCTCGAAATATGATCCGAATAGCCCTAGCAGCAGCAGCAGAAAAAACCATTCTTTACACAGAGATAGAGGTGATGAAGAGAAAATACCAGACCTTGTCAAGGATACCGAATCTGAAGGTTCTTCATAGGAGAGATCCAGTAAGAGAGTGGTAAAAAAATAATCAAATCATAGTTTTTGGCTTCACCAAGAAATTGGGGAACGATATAAAATCAACTCAGGTACATTTTTAACATCTCTTGTGGATGTAAATCTTGACTCGGCGTCATTGTATGTAGAGTGTTTCTTCTGTTCTGTAGAAAGAAAAAAACCATTTTGTTTTGGGACATATATATATATACATATATTAAACAAAAAAAAACTTCTTTTGACTTATATTTATATATTCCTATCAAAGATGTTGAGTATTTGTAAATGAGAATTAAGTATAATGAGTGGCAAAAGTCGTAAATACGTAAAAGGAATGGGACTATGATCACTTGAGATCACGTGGTGCAACTTTTCCCGCGTGAACCCGTAACGATTATGTCGTTAAATAGCCAAAACTGATCAACGAAGGCTTCTTCACAAATCTCTTCTCATAACTGGTTTGAGTGATTCTTGGAAGAGAAGCTACAAGATAAGACAACAATGGCGGAAAGGTCCTTCTCTCAGCTCCCGATCTCTTCTTCTCACGTCGGCAGGAGGACGCAAAACTCCCGGAGAGGGATGTTTCCGGTGTCGGAGTATTGGATCCACGCAATTCCGGTGATCGTTTTTCTCTGTTTCTTCACCCTCTGGATTTTCTCGCACTCAGGTCTGATTCTTTAATCTTTCTTTGCTTTTGTTTTTTTCCGATCTAAGAGAATATTTTCCCGAGAAAAAGGGTCAAGAATCTTTCTGATGGGTTTGTATTATTGACAGTGAGCGTAGATATGAACGATGGAGAGATAATGTCGATACATCGTCTTGAGAAATCAATGGCCGTGAGAAACGAGTCTCATGTCAGTTTAGCGATTCTTGCTTCCTCTGCTGTTTCACCAGCCTCAGGTCTCGTCGTCTCTACCAATCAGAACCTGACAACTCATTACAACGCTACTCAGTCGCACAACGCAACCCAATCTCACAACGCTACCCAATCGCTGAACAAAGCAGAGCAAGCCACACCACACCACACGCCGGCTAAACAACTCTGACCGGAGAAAAGGTTTCTTCACGGAGCCAATCTTCTTCTTTCTTCAGTCTTTTACTGATTTCTTCCATGAACAGAGAAGTGTGTATGGAATGATCTAAATAGTGAACTATTCTTTTTAGGGATTGAGATTTTTTGTTCTTTGTATTTGCTGTGAAAGCAAAAGAGTGCTTTGGTTTTGGAGTTGTAAAGATTGAAACAATAGTTTTGCATTAAGGATTGAAATTTGTTGTCAACAATACAGAATGTTTCCAAAAAATCTGCATAGCCTCTCATTTGAAGAATCTTTAGTGACTCGTATATCTCTGAATGTTACGGTTGAGGATGTTCAAGCTCACTGATCTCTCCGTCTGCACAATTTCCCACCCAAATGTACATCGTTTTGTTTCTCCGACTCGGTAGTACTCTGCAACAATCCCTCCTTGGTGACTGCAAACACACAATTTTATGATCAGCCGGTTAATTTTGAAATCAGCCGGTTATATCTGTCAAAATTCATGTTATACCAGAAACGAACCGGTTATCAGTAAATTCGATGCAAGTTGTTAAGTAGTGAGGCAAAGAGAGGATGTGGACCAACCTTGTGCCACCTGAGGGGATCGGGTCGCTTGAGAACGACGACGGAATCAATCTTTCCAGGCGAATCGAGCCTCCATCGGCAGCCGGGAACACGTCTTGTCTTGTCCAAGTTGTAGTATCCAATCACTTGGCGGCGTCCTTCGTCATACTTTGCCGAGTTTAGGTAAAACACGAATGGTCTCTGGCATGGATGCCTAGACACAGGTCTCGTGTTAAATGCGTAACCAATGTAGTCGGCTTTGCGGAACCAGTTGAGGAAAGTTCTCGAAGGCATCTCGAGCTCGCGAGGGGATATGATCCCTCGGATTATCTGGACTACGAATCCCCATGAGACAGAGATGGACCAGAACCGGTTCTGGTCGTAGCAGATGGACTGCTGGAATACGCTGGCTGGATCAAGAACTGCTGAAGACATCAAGTGTCGAAGCGCATGTGATCGCTTCATCTTTGGGAATATTGGTTGCACAACATCAATGTGGTGCAGCGACACCAGAGGAGCCACCGGGTGTGCACCTAATAGCCCCAATAAGTCCCCATAAACATCGTACTGCATAAATACAACCATGTTCACATTTTCAATGAGTAAAAGGAACCGTAAAATCGTTCAGATCTGAAATAATTGAAGAAAATGTTAGTCTAAGTGATTGAACATTGAGGAAAAGTAGAAAAAGGCACCTGGTGAAAGCCAGGTTCCTTTGTGAGGGGTACTCCAAGCTCGGTCATACAAGCTTGGATGCGATCATCGCTGCCGTAAAGACCAGGGTACCGCTGGATGCAACGGTCCTGCATCCGCGAGAGCTCCAGGGCCAGAGCGTAGCTAATGGCGAAACCACCACCTCCAAATGCCATCGAGTACGAGAAGAAGATGTTCTGAACATGAGCCTCAGAGGAGCTACCAACATAGTAGAACTGAGTGTGGTCGTACTTTGAGAGGACATTGACCACATTGTCCACCACGAACACCGTGTCGTCGTCTCCCATCACGAACCACCTTACTCCTTCTTTCCCTAGCCGTAGCGTCTCTGTCACCACCCGAGATATCCTCACGGCCGATCTGTCCCCTACCGGATGCGTGTACCTGAAACATGACTTCTTGATTTGAATGAGGTTCCTTTTAAAACGTGTCAGATGAGTAAGTACCTGAAACGTGAGGTGTCTTGGGAGATTCTGATTTCGGGAAGAGGTTCGTTACGATAGGTTCGGACTCTCTTATCAATCCAGACAACGCCGCGAGTCTTACCAGGTCGCCACCATGATTTGATGTACTCTTTCCTCGTCTCCCACAGAACAGAAGACGCTGCGATCCCGAATACTACGTGATCAAGCGTTGTGTTGAACATCCTCGGTCGTTGCGGGTAAAGAGCGGGGACACGTGGAGGCACATCGTCTTCTACTTCCTCGGGAACAACAGAGGAAGAGTTTGTTTGGTCGACAAGGGACAAGTGGCTATAGGTAGATGAAGTGGGACGGCAGGTCTTGCGTCCGCCTCCTCCGGTGGTGGAGATGAGAAGCAGAGGGAGAAAGAATAGGAATATGAAGAGCCATGGCAGAGGTGATCTGAGGAAGCTTAGATGAGATGTCCGAGAAGTGTTGCTGATGTTGTTGTGGTTTTGTGTCTGGTTTCTTGGGTGGTGATGATCTTCTATAAGTCTATTCTTGGGGTTGCTCAGATTGCTATTAGAGCTTGAACTGTTTCCCATGACTAATGGGAAGAGAAGAGAAAGAGATTGATACTACTATGTTTTGTTTTGTTTTGTTTTTATGTCCAATAAGATTTTGCTTCATCACTTGATAAAAATGAAAAGAAAGTTTCGGTGGTAACAAGCTAAATTTAGCTAACGAGAAAAGGTCTCTTCCGAAGTTTACTGCAACAAGTTACAAGACCATGAACCAAATACTAAAACAGTCAAACTGCAAATTATGTGTTCTCACATTCATTACTTTCAATCATAACTTGGCAACAAAATTGGCGCAGTGAAGCAGCCAAAGGAACCAGTCAGTGCCTTGTCTGCGAAAAATAAACAATATATTGTCAAAGACATAAAAGAAATTGAAAAGATCAATAACAGACAACACAGCAGAATATTTGAGAAAAAAAATAGAATAAAAGTTAAAAATATTTTACCTTTCTTTTCCCTCCCCTTTTACGGCCAAAGCTTGCAGGCTGTTCACCATCCTTATCCAAGAACTTGAATTCATCCATAAAATTCTCGGTTAGACCAAGCAACCTGAGTGCATATCAACAACGCATTAGGATAAATCAAATATCAGACATTTCAATTTCCAACCAAAGCAGACACGTACCCGCTGCTTGATTTCAGGCGCTTCTCTCTCTTCTTATCTTCTTTAGTGCGAGGTGCTCGGGTGAAGAGCTCTTCTTCTGCCTGTTGTTGCCTTTCATACTGTGCTATGAATCTTTTCTGCTCCCTGCTCTCAGCCCCATAAAAGTCCCTGATCTGTTTATCATTCACCCATTTAGTTTTAACATCAAATCAATTGATACTAATATAAACTGCAAAATAATTTTCAACCAGCCTACCTCTTCAGGCTTGTCCTCAAGATCGTCCAACACATCTTTCCAGTATGTATCTTCAGTGGCTCTTAAAAAGTGTTTCTCTTTTCTGGCAGCATCTCTTTCCTGTTTTGATGTCTTATCATCCATAGACATTGGAGCAAATTTCGGTGGTCGATAAACTCCGTCCTACATTATTTACAGAGGCAAACAGGTCAACGAAAAGAAAATGTAACATATTTCTTCACATGTGTTGGGGGATAGGAAAGTTCACCTCTTGATCATCCTCAGTTTTGTCAGCAAGTAAGTCTGGTTTAGGTTTATAATCTGAAAGATCTTCAGATTTTTGGGCAGCACCCGATCCCTTTCCCTCAGATTGAGCTAGTTCTGTCACAGACCCACCGGCAGTGGTGAGCTTCTGAATCTGGTACTGAAGTTTTTTGTCTATGGGACGAATCTACAAAAAAAGATAAACAAGCTAAATTACTGCTCTATGACTTGTAGGTGGTATAAAGTGGAAAAAAGACAAAGATGCAAACCTTTTCCAGAAACATTCGTATCTCTACAAGGCTCCTTACAACAGGATGGCCATCAATAGAGAATCCTTTTGCTTTCCTTAGCAGATAATATACAATACATTGGCAATAACTGAGAAGTAACAGATTCTTGGCCTCTAGGTAACTTATCCCATCCGTGGTCGGGAAACTGTTTGCTTTTACCTATGATTTTGCAAAATTAAGAAAGTCAGGATGCAGATGTAGCGTAACGTGAAGTTACCTTCAGATATGTTGGTTAAATCATAGCAAACAGCTTGTTCTTTAGCATAAAAGCTATCAATTCTACTTACACCAAATTAGAAACCAATAATAGTGTATGTTAAGATGCTATAATACAAAACTACCTACCATTGCAGTGAGAGCCTCCACTTTGCTCGTAACCACATCTAGACCATTCTTCATCTCTTTTAACACGGCTGCTAGCTGTGGAGCTTCTCTGACACAGTTACAATAATAAAAGGAGACCAGTAAATTACATGAGGCATATCTCTAAACACACAAGTTTATTTTGATTGTGAGAACTGAAGTGATTCATTCTTTTCTTTTTTTTGCTGCCACTTTTTGTAATCTTCTTCATGATGGGACAAATTTAAACTCACTTCTTTAATTGTCCGACAAGGCCCGGATTTGTGATGTCTTCCATGATCCTTCGTTCAGAACTTGACAGTCTTCTGTGAAAACGGAAAACAAACATAAATGTTCAGAGTCTAACCCAACCTGGATTCTTCAATCCTCATGTTGCTGACTACTAATTAACTAATTCATAGAAATCAATATTCACGATAGCTAATTGCTAATCAAAATTGATGAGTTCCACATACAGAGCAACTACTATCTCTCCGTGACCTCGATTAATCGAGCTCCGAGGACACAGAACACCAAATCTAGCAGCCAAGGAGATGCGATGAAGTAAGAACTCACCGGATAATGTGAACTTTGACGGCGACAGAAGAAACGATAAAAGTCACGGCGGCACAGAGACAGGAAAATTAAATAGAAACCCTCCCTAAAGATTTTCCGACAAAGAAAAGGTTTATGGAGGAGAGGAGACGCAATCAAAAGACTTCAGTACAAATTTTAGGGCCTAACTAGCATTAGGGCCTAAGAAGGGCCTAAATCTACTTCTTAAAATATGTAATTTCTTCTCCAGTTATTGTATCCACTTTCTTTGAACTTGTTTAGTTAGACAGTTAGTAATAAATAACGAAGGGCCTGGTAATGTAGACTTGCATTAACAATAGCCCAATACTAAACTAATTTGAGCCTTATATAGGCCCAGCAATAATCTTCGTATGCCACGTCATTGATCGGGAGCAAGTCACGTCATCGATCCGGGTGTGATTATTTACGATGTTTAATAACCATTGGATCAAAATATATCAACGGTTTGTATAAAAAGCACAAGGATTATCTCTGTTCTATATATATAACACATTTTTATTTCTTGGTTAGTTCAACATCGTCGATTTCAATTGCTCTTCTCTCCAAATTATCTCTAGGTATCTTCTTCTTTCTCTTTGCTGGGTAACATTTGGCGTTAGTTTGCATTTCGATTGGATTGATCTGAAATTCTGTTGATTATCATTTATTGAATAATATTTTCCGGTTTGTTATTGTTCAGAGATCGGATTGGAATAGTGAAGCAGTGAAGCAGTGAAGAGATGTCGGGAAGAGGAAAGGGAGGGAAGGGATTGGGAAAGGGAGGAGCGAAGAGGCACAGGAAGGTTCTTAGAGACAACATCCAAGGAATCACGAAGCCAGCCATTCGTCGTCTGGCTCGTAGAGGTGGTGTGAAGCGTATCAGTGGTCTCATCTACGAGGAGACCAGAGGAGTCCTCAAGATCTTTCTCGAGAATGTCATCCGTGACGCCGTCACCTACACTGAGCACGCCAGGAGGAAGACTGTGACCGCCATGGATGTTGTCTACGCCTTGAAGAGGCAAGGTCGCACTCTCTACGGTTTCGGCGGTTAATCGATCTGAGATTTATTAGGGCTTATGGCAACTTTGGGCTGTTTCTGAGATTCTCTGTTAAAAAAAAAAAGTAAATCTAGGAGTTTAGCTGCTACTACTGCTGCTTTTGTTTCTTTTGTATTGTTTGTTCTTTAGCCAATGTGATGTGACGATGTTAGTTCAAATATGTTTGCAAAAACTTATGCTTAGAAAGTTCAATGAGAATGAACCAATTTGCTCTCTTCACTGCTATCTTGACAACCTAATCCCATCTCTTTAACAGGAAGCTCTTTTAATCTGTATTTGTTTCATTCTTTGATATCTATCTATTTGACTATTGAGGTTGTGTTACCTCTTAATCTGTGTATCCTAGCAAGTTTTAGTATATCTGATAGGGAAGCAGTAAGACTCATTCGAAACTGATAATAGAGTTTGGATGGATTAATAGCCATATAGATGTTTGTTTTCAATTGAGAGAATCAATAGCAAGTCTCCTTATAGTGTGGTGTCATTTCATCATCACTTAGTTTTAGTTTTGGGCTCACGCCATGTGGAAGCAGGCGAAATGGTCTACAGTCTACACTCTACAATGAGGATCACACGCCATATAGAAACTCCTATCAGTAATCCCTTTATAACAAAAGAAAGATTATAGAATCAGTAAGCTTTTATCAATGAAGCCAGAAAGACTTAAAAAGAGGGTTCGACCATAATAACCAAGTTAGTCTTTTGGCTTAGTCTAGGGTCCGAAACGTTTTGGTTAGGAGGTTTATGATAAAACATAACAGATCAAATTGTGTACTCGTGGGATCGTGATTGTGAGTCGTGAATAAACATCACAGAAAGAACTTGTCTAGAAAAAGGAAAAGGTGAATATGTTTTTTTTTGTTTTGATCAAATGGGTCAAATGGGTGAAGATGTTTTTGTTTTATGAAAATGAATACAAAAGTTATCGATTAATTTACAAATTTTGGTAGTTGCTGTTGTTTATAAATCATCTGCATTGTCCTCGGTGCCAATACAGGTTCGGAGCAAACAAGCCGAAGCCGTGACCATAACCGCAGCGAAGATCGAAGGCACAAACAAATCGAAAGGCGATCTCTTCACCATGCTAGATGGCACGCACACACTCTCCCCCGCAAAATCCGTAGGGATCTTCACGAACCCATCTCCTCCTCCGCACGAAGACGACACCGTAGACACAAACGCCATCTCCGGAGCGAACGAAGCGACGGCGACAGTGAACATGAGGAGAACCGTCCACGTGGCAGCCTGAGCGATGACCGGCCAACGGTCCGATACTCTCCGTAGAAACGGCGCCATTAACATCTTGAATCAGAAAGGCCTGTATTCAACAACGACGAAAAAGAGATAATGGTGGTGGTGTCTGCGAGAAAACGAAAAGATTGTGGGATTTGGATGAGCAAAATCAAAGCTTGTTTGATGGATGCGCAATTTATGTGTTTATGGAAATGGAAAGGGCTTCTTCTTTGCACGTTTAACTGCTCTTCTTCTTTCCCCCATTGACAAAAAAAAAAAAAGAAGAATTATAAAACAGTTCTTTATTTACGGATTGAACCTTTCCTTTGAACTCTTCTCTTAGTTTTGTCCTTACTTTCAGGGTCTTCTCTTTCTTCTTCTTTCACACTCTCACGTATTCACCAATTACAATTTATATATTAGTAAGTTTGTGTATTATTTGGCTGTTCTGTATTTTTTATTTAGTAAACAATATCATCTTCTATTAGGCTTTTTCTTCTAGAATTCATGTATTTTCTTCTGGATTTAGCTTAAGGAAGATAGAAGAAATTTAAAATATGACTATGACACTTATCAAGTTAATTATGTTTTTTTTTGGTTGTGGGTTCACCAAAACTCCTCTTTAATTTTAAGTGCGTTCACCTAAATCCGATGGTAATGCTCTGTGTGTGACATGTCGACCTTGATTGTTAAGACTCAGCTACTCATCTTCAATTCCATTTCAATATCTCTCAATTACTATATGCATATTGCGATATGAAGTTGCTAGGATAAATTGGACTCTGTTCGTTTTGGGAATGTAAGAGAAATGGATAAAAAGTTCGCAGTAATGAAACAATGGTATATAAATAAAAAGATTTATATATAAGAAATTGCAAGTCCATCATCTCAATTGGTAAATCGAAATGAAAAACATTACAATATATCATTCGACATTGAATTATAAGAACAGAAGAAACCAGCAGTGATCTCTTCTTTCTAGATACATCCACAAAATACAAAATTAAGAAAGCAAAGCATCTAATTCCCTAACATAGCAAATCGAAATCCCTAAAAAACCCTTAAACCTAGTTCCTTCAAGAGCTGGTAAACTTGGTCACGGCCTTGGTACCTTCAGAGACGGCATGCTTAGCGAGTTCACCGGGGAGGACGAGTCTGACAGCAGTCTGGATCTCGCGAGATGTAATCGTCGGCTTCTTGTTGTACCTAGCGAGTTTCGAGGATTCCTGAGCCAGCTTCTCGAAGATATCGTTGATGAAGCTGTTCATAATCCCCATGGCTTTGCTCGAGATCCCTATGTCTGGGTGAACCTGCTTCAGCACCTTGAAGATGTAGATCTTGTAGGTTTCGATGTTTTTCTTCGATCTCTTCTTCTTTTTGTCGCCGGCCTCCTTATTAGGTGGCAATTTCTTCCCGGCCTTTGGTTTCTTCTCCGCCGGGGCTTTCTCCGCTGCCTTGGCCTCTTCCGCCGCAGGCTTTTTCTCGGCTGGCTTCTTCTCGGCTCTGGGTGCCATTATCGCGATTTGGGTTGTAATTTACTCGGGAATCGGAAGAGTTGAGATAGTGGTGTGCTTGTTAGATTTCCCGAGGTTTTTCACTATTTATAGAGAAGGAGATATCGTATGTTATTGGCTTACAGCATTTGACGAGGATCAATGACGTGTGTTAATGTTACTCGCTCAGATTAAGCGACTTTAAAAATTAAGATCTGACGGCTCTGAGGCACATGAAAGCGCAGAAAATGGAGTCTTCTATTTTATTCGCTAAAGGCTTTTGATGCGGATCATTGACGTGTGCAACTATACTACGCTAGATTATATCAATTTTATTCAAGATCTGACGGCTGAGAGGCTTAGAGACACATCAGTCTTATTAGGTCTGATGATCCGACCCAATATGGAATGCCCAAATTATTAGCTTTAATAGGCTTTAATGGTCGTGACAAAGAAGCCCACTGGGCCTGTATTGAAGCTAAACGCAGCGCATAACACGCCTTTCATTTTGGTTTCTCTGATTGTATCTCTAGTATAAAATCTGATAAGAAAACCCTAGCTCACCTTCTCTTCTTCCTCTATTTGCTTTTCTCCGTCACTGAGTGCCCCAGCCTCTCGAGCTCCCAATCTTATTAAGGTACAGTCTTTTCACTATACTTTCTCAGACTCTGATTATAGAATATTCAGAAGTGATCGATTGCTTACAGTTCTTGAGTTGTGTTGTCTCACATTAGAGAATTTAGGATCTTAGAGCCTTTTTTTTTTTTTTTGTTGACGATTTTCATTTATTGATGTAGCATTTCATAGTGAACTTAGTAACGCTTTCGAATTAGTCAGTCTCAGCTCTTTTTTTTCCCTCTGTGAATGCATTCTCTGGAGTGTAACTACGAGACCCCTGTTTCAATTTCTTCTAGTGATTTCGTTTTATATTTACAAGTTCTTACTTTTTAATGATGCTTGATATTGTGAATTATATCATGAAATACTTACAGTAAGGTCGTTCCTGTTTTGAACGAAGATCAGATGCTAAAATTTTTAAATGCTTATGTTTGGGTTAGTTATTTTACTTTAAAGAAAAGAAAAAATTCAAGCTCATGTTTCTTGTTTGACTTGTTTCAGTAGAGGATTGAGCTAAGGGCAAGATGGTGAGAATCAGTGTTCTTAACGATGCTCTCAAGAGCATGTACAATGCTGAGAAACGAGGCAAGAGGCAGGTCATGATCAGGCCGTCCTCAAAAGTGATTATCAAGTTTCTGATTGTCATGCAGAAGCACGGTATGAATTTCCCACTAGTTTTAATTTTGAGATTCCTCAACATCCTTGGGTGTCTGTTCCTTAGTTTGTGTGGTTTACCATTCAAATGCAGGTTACATCGGCGAGTTTGAGTATGTCGATGACCACAGATCTGGCAAGATTGTCGTTGAATTAAATGGAAGGTTGAACAAGTGTGGTGTTATCAGCCCCCGTTTTGATGTTGGTGTCAAGGAAATTGAGGGTTGGACTGCCCGTTTGCTCCCTTCGAGACAGGTTATCTTGTCTGATAGACTTTTCTTGTTACCATGATGGCCTTATACACTATAAGATCAAGCATTGGAAACGTTTTAGTTACACTTTGCATACTGTCCTAATTCAACAATGTTAGTAGTTTGTTAACTTGTCTTTATGGTAATAATGATTTTAAGCCACTGAATTTGTGCAGTTTGGGTACATCGTGCTGACTACATCCGCTGGCATCATGGACCATGAAGAAGCCAGAAGGAAGAATGTGGGAGGCAAGGTTCTCGGCTTCTTCTATTGAAGTTTTATTTATGGGGAAAGATATTTTCATTTGAGTTATTTTTAACTTTTGTCCTCCATTTTCTCTGAAAACTACCTTTGTCTTTCTATCGAATTTTGTGTTAACTTTGATGGATAGTTCTTAAATTACTCTTTTTTGGTTTTGGATCCCTTTATGATTCAGTTGGACTTTAGATGCACTCTTTGAATTATTGCCGATCTCTTTCCTTCTCTTTGTGGGCTATAATCTCAAAAGGTGCGGGGAATGCTCCATTAACGTAATCTCAAAGATTAGTGCCCTCGTTTCTGTAATTCTTGTTCTAAATGTACAAAATTTAACGTAATACTGTGTTCTACTTAGGTAGTGACAAAACCATTTCAAGTCATAATTACATATTATGATTATGATACAGTCAGGTTAAAAGCATTTGATACTATATTGACCAGCACCAGCTTAAGTATACGAGCCCCTTATTGCTTATGCCTTATAGCTCGTTGAGAGAAGGGCTAGACTTAGACCGGATTATGTAGGAGATAGAATAGTTAATTACAGTAACCGAAGAAACCATATCTTAAATTCCAGCAGTGGTAGAGTACAAATATATCTGACACAAAAACTGACAAATCATTGCTGTTAATGTTATCAATTTATCATCAAGAAACGTGGAAACCCAAAAAAAACAAAAAACTCTTCAAGAAACAAGAACAAACTGCCAAAGGAACATAGTTGCCCAAATTCTAATTCTAGTTTTCGCCCATGAAATCGATCACACCTTATTAGAAAATGGTAAACGGATCACTCTTCCCTCTCCAGCCAAATCTCGGCCGCCGTCTCATCTCATCTCCGGCACCTTGAGCTTGAGAGTATCTTCGTGTATTTAATTATGTAAGAGATAAAACATTGACAGAGAGAAAGGGTGAGAGAGGAAGGTTTGATGAGGAGGAGCATCCATTGTTGATATAGGCCTTTAAGACCTCATCAAAAGAGAAGCCAAATGAGAGGAGACGTTTAGTTTTGGGTTTATAGACCAAAAAGAAAGTGACGATTTTGAGAGAGTATCTTCGAAAGCATATGCTCTGAACCATTAACTTAGCTGACCTGAGACCCATTATTACAACTTTTGATTTTCTTCTCTTTTTCACTTTTGCTAATATATAGTATTAAAATGGTAGCAAAAGTGACAAGTAACATGGGTTGCTCGCCACGAGAGTAGAAAGAAAGTGAGGCTACTCTTTTCTTTCGCCTAGTTGTTTCTCATTGGACTGCTTCCCAACTGTTCGACCATCTGTCTATTTGACGAGGTTACCAAAACTGGCTCTGTGTTTTTAATTATTACTTGCTAGGCATGTGGCTGTCGACTAATTACATATATATATATATATATATATATATTATCATCTCTTTGTTTGTGATCTTGTAATCTTTTTCCCTCAGTTTCAGATGTATCCTCCGTTTACGAAACGTGCATATATTATTCTCTAACCAAGTCATTGTCTCAAGCTGGTGGAAAGGATACGTTACTGACGTTAGACTTGATATGATTTGTACATTTTATCAAAATTTAGTTGTTCATATTTTTTTTTAAAGCGATTTTTTTTGTTTGCGTTTTTAAGAAATTAAATTAAAGCTCCACCAACTATGAATGAAACATGTGCTATTAAATACAAAGATGTAGGTCAGTTGTCTAAGCAGATGGTGGGACTTGGCCAGTATATAGAGTATACACACATAATTCAGATGATAAATAAAGCATTTTTTTGCTTTATTGTATAAATATTGTTGTCTGATATTGATTGCCAATAAAGTGGCTGTAGTTTAGTGGTAAGAATTCCACGTTGTGGCCGTGGAGACCTGGGCTCGAATCCCAGCAGCCACACTTATTTTGCATTTTTTTTCCTATTGCTTTTTAATTCACGTGCATAGGCTTTCTTCTAAAAGCCCCTTATTGAATATTATAAGAATGGGCCTCTAAATATTATTCTCACTCTGGGAGAGATAACTTAACCGTTAGGATTTACTTTGGAAAATGGACGTTTTATAATAATAATCTTGACCAAATTTAATACAAAATCAATTCATTTGCGGTTGGAAAAGAATTACATATTAATTATGTTATTAAAATTCTTTGAAAAAAACGAAAAACAATATTCAACTTATCCATCACGTTGCTCGTTCGAATTAAATAAAATTGTAAAACAGACTGTTTTCGAATTGTATATTACTGGATAAATCCTTTTAAAACTTAGATAATATACAACCCTGTCAGCATTCCATCCTTCAAATAAAAGAATTAATTAAATAAATAAGAAAACCAGCGATTAGCTTATATAAACATAAATACAATAAGATTAGTTAAGATATTGCAATTCATCATTTTTAATCCTATCCTAAGGTAAAAGAGAAAAAGGAAAACATTACCTGAAGATTACTAAATTGGAAACAAATAATTTAATATATTGAAAAAATATATATTTCTACAACAAATATTCAAAGAATTTGATTTATCCAATAGCACTTTTGGTATAATATCTATATAGTATTAAATAGATTATGAAGAAAAAATAAACGTGATGGATTAACAATAATTATATTCTTATAATTCACTAAGCATCTTTATTTGGTAGAGTCAAAATCAATAATTATAGAATTATCAGAAACGAAATAAATAAATAAAAATAAAATCATGGGGATAAAAAATAGATTAAACTTGAATTAAAACGTTAAAAGATGATAATTATCCCGAACTAAATCATATCGTAATCTTCGCCGAATCAGTCTCCGTGTATAGTAACGGATTCACTCTTAAGCCTCTTCTATAAATATACGTGTCGCATCTCATTCACATCATATCGAAATTTACTACTTCTCTTTTACCCAATCTTTTTTCTTTACTGTTTCCATCGTCCACCTTTGAGTTTTTTTTTTCTTTTCGCTACGAAGAATAATGGAGTTGGATCTTTCACCTAAGCTGCCGAAGAAGGTTTACGGAGGAGATGGAGGATCTTACTATGCGTGGTGCCCAGAGGAGTTGCCGATGCTTAAACAGGGTAACATTGGAGCCGCTAAGCTTGCTCTTGAGAAGCATGGCTTCGCTATCCCTCGTTACTCTGATTCCTCTAAGGTCGCTTATGTTCTTCAAGGTTCGTTTTTCTTCTTCTAAAGCTGTCGACTTTATTGAGATCCGTGTGATGTTTTGTCTAACTCTGCTTTGGTTTTGAGGGTTTTGATATTTTTCATGTTCTGATCTTCTTGTTTCTTCAAAAAGTTGTCAACTTTATGGTGATTTATGCATATTCATTACTCTGATTGGGTTTTTGTGATCCTGATTCTACGATCTATTAAGCTGATTTCAATCTTAAAAGTGTAAATTGTGACAAATATGATAGTCAAACAGATCACGACTGCTGTGTGCTAGAAAAGAGTAGTCTTTTGCTGTTTTTGCTTTGCTTGATCACGTTTTCATCGTTTGATCTAATAACCTCGCGTGTAAGGAATTAAAAAGCTTCTTACTTTACCTTTTCTTATTTTGATTCCAGGATCTGGAACTGCCGGAATTGTCCTCCCTGAGCAGGAGGAGAAGGTGATCGAAATCAAACAAGGCGATTCGATTGCTCTTCCCTTTGGTGTGGTCACATGGTGGTTCAACAACGAGGATACCGAGCTTGTTATCCTCTTCCTCGGTGAAACCCACAAGGGTCACAAAGCTGGACAATTCACTGAGTTCTATCTCACTGGCTCGAACGGTATCTTCACCGGTTTCTCTACTGAGTTTGTTGGTAGAGCGTGGGACCTTGATGAGTGCACTGTGAAGAAGCTCGTTGGTTCTCAAACCGGTAATGGCATTGTTAAGCTTGATGCGAGCTTCAAGATGCCACAGCCCAAGAAGGAGCACCGTGATGGGTTTGTCTTGAACTGTTTGGAGGCTCCTCTTGATGTAGACATCAAGGATGGAGGCAGAGTAGTTGTCTTGAACACCAAGAACCTTCCTTTGGTTGGAGAGGTTGGGTTCGGAGCTGATCTTGTTCGGATCGATGGACACTCCATGTGCTCTCCTGGTTTCTCTTGTGACTCGGCCCTTCAGGTGACTTACATTGTGGGTGGAAGTGGAAGGGTCCAGGTGGTTGGTGCTGATGGTAAAAGAGTTCTTGAGACTCATATCAAAGCTGGTTCTCTCTTCATTGTTCCAAGGTTCTTTGTGGTTTCAAAGATTGCTGATTCTGATGGCATGTCGTGGTTCTCCATTGTCACTACTCCCGAGTAAGAACCTTTTCTCTAAAGTTCTAATTTGTGTTTTAAGATTGTGTGGAACTAAAAAGTTTGTAACTATCTTCTTCTTTGTGTTTTATGCAGTCCAATTTTCACACATTTGGCTGGAAGGACATCGGTGTGGAAGGCTTTGTCACCGGAGGTGCTGCAGGCGGCTTTTAAGGTGACTCCGGAGGTGGAGAACTCCTTCCGTTCAAAGAGGACTTCAGACGCCATTTTCTTCCCTCCTTCCAACTGAAGAAGGAGAAGAGAGCAAAAGGAGAACAAGAACCAGCTTTTTCATCTTTGATCGTTTGCTACTTTCTTGTGATTCACGGAAGAACTTAGTGTTTTCCCTGGTTCGATTCTCTTGGGCGTTTTTTTTTTTTTTTTGTTTTTCTGGTCCGGTTCTTGTTCTCTTTGTTACAAAAATAAAAATAAAATAGGTTCTTTTCTTATATTTTTGATTGACTCTTCCAAAGCAATGAATCAAAATATATTCGTCTAGATCTGATGGAACGCTAATCTAGCAGTTAATTAGCACAAAATAAATTTTAGTTAAGAATTAGCACATCCTAAATCCTTGACAAGAATATCCTTGATAAAAGAATACTAAATTTTAAAAGTAAAACGATCGTAAACTAGTGGTAACTTGTTTTTTTTTTGGTTCGTTAGTTGATAAGTTTTCTCTTATAAAACAAAACAAACACTATATTGATTTAGGTTGATATCACCGTGACGATAAAGTCCCAATGATCAAGCATTATTGTTACATATGATATTAGTATTACATATGATTTTTATAGTTATTACATTCAGAATTATTCAATAAATATTTAAAATTTTCAACAAGAAGGAATAGGGACATTACAATCTGCTAGAACTTTTTTACCAGCGGACAAGAATGGACCAACAAGTGGATCTTTTAGGTAATCGCAAAAACACGACTGATTATCTTTTAGTTTTGTGCAGCACTCAGCCGATGGTTGGCTTCCGCCTTGTACAGCTGATAGACATGGTGCAAGATCCATCACGGCGCATGCCGCCACTTTTGTTGGAGCTAGAGACGACATAACCAACGATATGAAAAGAAATGTAATGAACTTCATCATCATGTCTTGTATCTTAGTATCTCTCCTTCTAAGCTTTGTTTTTTTTTTTTTTTCGTTTAGAAAATGTATGGAATGTAATATTTGATTGTGAGATTTGCTTAAGGATGGTGAAGCTGTATTTATACATGGATGGAGAGTAATGTTTTGCAATAGGGAAGTGTGTATTTAAGGTAGAGTATTATCCTCTCTTTTTTTTTTAATTAAATTTTAGTGCATCTCATATTTACATTATGTGACACAGATTATTGGAATGAAACTATCAAAATTTAAAAGCAATGCCTTTTGCAGAAATTTGAAAAATTAATTATAAAGAAAGTAAATCCATCTACCCTTAAATTATAGTACTAGATAAGTTTGATATGATCAAATTAATGATTTCAAATCTGTGAAGATTTTTTAAGAAAATGACAAAACAAAAAGAAGTAGAATATCTGTAAATCTAAATAAATAAATAAAGTAAAATATCTGTAAAATCTAAATTATATAAAAAGACTATGATTTTTACCCCTATTTTACAGCTGGTAACTTGTTTGGTTTATGCTAACCGGGTTTCGGTTTTTAAATTTGGGTGAATCGATCGGGGATTTAGAGTCTGGGACGTGACAATGAATGGGATATATATACTAAGTTGGTGGCGTACTCAGATTTCTATGTTTCAACATTTCTGTCTGAATTTGCTCGTTTGCTTGCAAAAGTTACTCGATTTATTATTTACAATGTGTGTTGGAGACAATTAACTTAAATGATTCATAAAATCAGTCGAAACATTCTTAGACATACGTTTTTAATTCTGTAAGAATTGTGCTATGAAATTTGTATTTCATATAAACCATCGTCACAAGTTATACATATATCTTCCCACAAGTATATGAAAAGTTGTATTTGCGATAAAACCATTATTACGTTACGGCCGTGTCCCTCTCCCTCTCTGTTTTAGGGTTACGTTTAAAAGTTGTTTTGGGTTTAGGGTTTAAAGGTCTTTTGAATGATGGAGCCTCCTCCTAGCAAGGACGCAGCAGCGGCTGCAATATCTCTGGGATCTCTCTTATTAACTTTAATTTGCCTACACTCACATTGACATGGCTAGTCATTTCATCGACCTCTATGAGAACCCACCTCCATCTAATAAGATGGTCATCTCACGTCGACCAGCCTACGTTCCTGATTCATTGTATTATGTTCTTGCGAACCTACGTGATAAGGGATACCATACTCTTTTCTCGTTTCCATTTGAGACTTCTCCAGAAGCCGCAGAGCTTCTCTGGAATAATCAATAATGTGGCACAGTAAAACATTATTAACATTACACTTTGATTGTTCGGTAGTCAATTATCCGGCGGCTTAATTATGTCAATAACTCCGACATGAAAAACTCCCAAAGATAAACATTATCAAATACTATGCTTTTTGATTATAACATTATGATAATTACGCTACTAACATTTGAACTTAACAATTATGAAAATGTATACCACAAGCCGCTATGACTCTTTTAGCAGCTCCAATATACTGACTAATCGGTGGACTTATCAAGTACTTACACAAACACGACTTGTGTTTTTTTAGCTTTCCACAACATTCTGTGGATGGTGGGCTTCCTGTTGTTACCGCCGACTTGCATATTTGAAGATCTGCCAAATCGCATGCCGCTTTAACATCTTTCTCTGAAATCACTGTTTTGGTCAAAGCTAGAGACGACCGAACGGTCGGAATTCATCTAATGTAATGAACTTCATCTCTTGTAACTTTTTAGTGTCTCCCTTCTATATAATTCTTTTCCAACTACTTAAATATATTTGAGATTTTAATTATGAGATGTCCAAAGGATGGTGAAGGGATCCGATATATATAGAGAGAGATGGAATAATGTTTTTTAGTAGGCAATTTGTGCCTTTTTCCTTTTTTTCTTTGTAATAGCATTTGTGCTTTTTAGCTGATGTACGTCTTTTGTGTTTTTGATTTCACTAATTTAGTGCATTTGATCATATCTATGGACGCTGTTTTTTAACGAAATGTGTAAACACATATTTAGATTGTGCCACGTGTTAGAAGATCTTTGTAAATATAAATAAACAAAACCAGATATAATTATAATACACTACCAAAACTTTAAAACAAATCCGTTTTTATTAATTGTAAATCTTTCTGTACATATATCTCGGATCCGTAGAATAATATTTATATGTTTTCAAAACTTTTCGAATCTTCAAACATTAATACTGTAATTAATACACTTACAGATTTAGATTAAAAATTTGGGATTTAAATCTAGGTCATGAAAACAAGCCATAAAATCAGTAACGTTTTCTTTTCTAGTCTCAAATCTCAAGTCATTTTTGGGACAATAAGGTGTAAAATAACGCCTTGCAAGTTTTAAAATTTATATAATTAACCTTATATTGGGCCTGAATGATATACAGCCCATTAACGTTCATTACCGGACGCTAATCAGATTGTTCTTTTCCAAGTCCCAAGTGATACAATTTGGGGGGGAGTGAGGTTGTAATGTAACAATGGCGCCTCTGAAACATCTGGAGAAGGAGAATCCATTCATTGACGCCTCTTTCCGACATTTTTGCGCCTCGCATGGAATTCTAACAGGTTCTGTCCTACATCTTCTTCTTCTTGTACTTCGTTTTCGCGTAATCGGTTCTGTTTGATCTCCCCCGCTTGCCTGCAAAAACGACTGTGGTTGGCATGGGAAACGTAATTTCGTAGTCCTGTTAGTGTAAGTTTACTTTGAAACAGTTTCAAATTTTGGAGAGCTCGTACTCTGAAATCTCGGATAGTGTTGCTGTTTTGATGTTTGATTGTTTACGCTTTAAGGTGTTCGACGAATTGCGTTTGGTTTGCTTCTTTTTCTTTTGGTTAAGAAATTGGATTTGTGCATACGAGTCATGAATCGAGTTTGCTTCTAAGTTTTCTAGTTATAAACTCGGGTTCGTTCAGACAGAAGACTACGTTTTTGTTAAAATTGCAGTTGAGGATTTTCTTCTTCATGATCTCTACCAACTTGCTGCATTTGCTGATAGACAGAAAAATGCAGATAGATTGAAAGAGGTTAGCTTTTACTGAACGTTTCTTGTTGATTTTCTTAATCAACTTTTGAGGTTTGACTGTGTGATCAATAATTACATGTCTTCCTTTTGGATTCTTCAGGGTATCACTGTCATGCTTTCTTTGGTAGAACTTCGGTGTCGGCCATGGTTGAATGGTATGGAACTGTTGGAGGATCTACAGCGTAATAAACAAACATTATCGTCCGGAGACAAAGGGGTGGACTCATTGCTTAAAGGTGGATTCCGTGAGGGTCAGCTGACCGAACTTGTCGGACCTTCATCTTCTGGTAAAACGCAAGTATGTATTCACATACTCTTAGCTTGCATTACTCACAGATACCAAATTTTAAAGCCTTTCTACTGCAATATCACATAATATTTGTATGCTTATGAATTGTGGATTGTTTCATTTAAGCGTTATAAGCTGCAACCAAGAATTTAGGACATCAAAACGTTCCTAGAATGATATGTTGTTTTTGCTTAGCCCTTTTTACATTGTGTGATTTCTTATGAATGAATAGTTTTGCATGCAAGCTGCTGCAAGCGTGGCAGAGAAGCATGCTGGCAGAGTCTTGTATTTAGACACGGGGAACTCTTTTTCTGCTCGACGCATTGCTCAGTTTGGCTCAAGTTCGGAAACTTCTTTAGGACAGGTTTTTTCACCAGCAATTATTGTCCCCTAGCTTGTTAGTCACCAATCATCAATTCTTTAATTGTTTAAACCTTAGGTATGATGAAACGTATATGTGCAGAAAGTAATCAGCAGAATATCATGTCACACAGTGTATGACATCTACACAATGCTTGAGATACTGCAAGGTTTAGATGTTACTTTGAGGTCGCAGGTATTACGCTATCAAAGAAGATGCAATTTCCTCAATGTCAGTTCATGTCTATTATTAAGTGTTAACCATTTGTTTATCTATCTATTGCAGGTGCAGACGAATGTGAATGAACAACGGTTACGGTTGTTAGTTGTTGATTCAATCTCTTCTTTGATAACCCCAATCCTTGGAGGCAGTGGCTCACAGGGTACATGTCCTTGTACGTCCATCACAATTTATTCACCTATATGGCTAACAGATGATGAGCTGATAATTATGAAGAAATGATTCACAACTCGATGTGTGCAGGACGCGCTTTGATGGTGGCCGTTGGATATATGCTTAAGAAGCTGGCACATGAACATAGCATCGCAATACTGGTATTAATAACGTTTCAGGGCATTAAGTGTGTCATTGTGCTTTAAAAGTTTAAACCTTTTCTTGTATTATTGAAGGTGACGAACCACACTGTGGGTGCTGGGGGAGAAGGCGTTAAAACCAAACCAGCTCTCGGGGAAACATGGAAAAGCATCCCTCACGTGAGACTTATGTTATCGCGTGACCATAAGAACAGCAACTGCACCATCTCCATCTTGAAACACACATCCATGGTAAGTTGCTTACCAAACAATTATTCCCCATCTCTGAGTCCAGATTCGTCTCTTTAGGTTTTACAGTTTCTGTTTCTATTTGTTTTTTCTTATAGCCGTCAGGCCAAACTGTGAGGACCACGATTCGCAAGGACAATCAACAATGTGTATAGGCCTCCTTGGCTAATAATCTGCAACCATCGTTAGGATGTGCTAGATGAGAACCACCATATCTGACGAAAGAACCAATAATCATATGGATTCTTGTTTCAGTTTTTAAATGTAGAATTATATTGCAACAACTAAAACATAAAGGATTCAATAGCGTTTTATCAAGAGAAATATGTAATGCTACAACATTTGTTTAACAACAATTGGATGATTGATGCTCACACAGAATAATATGACTATAGAATAATGGATATATATGCATCTAATTAACTTCAAATAAATTAAAAAACAAAACTTTCAGGACTAAGCTTGAAATAAATAAACAAAACAAAGGTTTCAGTTTTATACGACTATTAGTAAAGAATATAAATTAAAATTTACTTTTGAGTTAATTTAGTTTTCATTAAATAAAATTAGAAATTATTGCCATATGATTTAAATATCAATAACTAATTCATGTTGATTTTTTTTTTTTTAAAGGTCCAAAAAACTAATAAACCAAATATTTTTCGGGTTTTACCATTTTTCTTTCTTTTTCCGCTTTTTATTGTTTTTTGTCACTTAAATGTATAAAAGAGTTTCCAATCTATTAATTTCACAACAATTCTTTGCCATCATTGACCATTTAACAAACTATGTCTCTAACTGAATGTCTAAAGAATGTCAGAAATCTTGTTTGTTTTGTCATTTCATCTTTAAAGATAAAATAAATTGTGTTGGCACAACCAAGGAATTCTTCACATATGTTTTAAAATCCAGTCATGCAAGGTAATTTTATTTAAGACCATTGACATAATCAGAAGAGAAACAAATTGTTGTTCCAAAATTTTAAGACTTAATTGCTAGGCATATTATAAACTTTCCAAATTTAAAAGCGACCATGATTATCAATGGGTTCTTAAAAACCTCTTAAGCTAAGAAAAGTGATGAAAAATTAAGAAAAGTTAATATATATCTCTTGTATAAGAGACTTCTTTCACCTTTTCTTAACTTTTTTTAGCCTAAGATTTTACTAAAAGCCTACCAATAATTATGCTCTAAGGAGAGAAAAAGAGGGACGACCAGCGTGTACAATTTGATGGACTTTAGACCCAACAGTTCCAACAGAAAAAACAAACAGTCGTCGAAACAACAGCTCTTCCTTTGAAAAACCTTTCCACCAAAACAACAAACCAAATACGATGAATAAATATCCCAACACCGAAAGACTACTTTCTTCAAACCCAAGAAACATGATGCTCTTGAAACCATCTGCCTTATTAAAATCTTCAAAGCCCCAGCCGCAACAACAACAAGGATTCGCCGAATCTCTAATCGGCGATAGTGTGGATGTCGTTGAAGCTTTCATAAGCCAATGGGTTTCCCCACACCACAACGATTCTTCTACATCTTCGTGCATCCTCTCTTCCCTCTTCTCCCCCCAAAATCGTCTACAAGGCAGACACTTCCTCGAGGTTCTTGGCAGGTTACAATACGCTATTCAAAGTACGGTTGTGATGAACCCAGACTCCGCTAAGCTTGCTCAAGGCCAGGATTTGATGGGCAAAGCTATGAAGCATTTGGAAAAGGAGTTTTACCGGGTTATGAAATCAAATAGCCGGTTTTTGGATCCAGAATCTGTCTCCGGTTGGTCTTCGAGATTGTCCGAGTCCAACACACCTTTGAGATCAAGTGGAAACGCTTTAGATTCTTCATCTGATGATCACGAGCTTGATTATGATACCTCATCTGACTTAGGTAACGATAGAGGAGGATTTGGAGATGCTAATGCTATCGTGGATTTAAAGATGATAGCAAATTGCATGATCTCTTCTGGTTACGAGAAAGATTGTGTTAAAATCTATAAGAAATTTCGAAAAAAGATCATCGCCGACGCATTATCTAATCTAGGGTTTGAGAAGTTAACCTCTACGCAGATGCATAAACTAGAATGGGAGATTCTGGAGAAGAAAATCAAAGCATGGGTAAGGGTTGCGAGGGTAGCGATCACCACTTTGTTTAACAGAGAACGAATCCTTTCCAATCACATTTTCACCTCCTCCGTCGCTGAGTCTTGCTTCGTGGAGATTACGCTACAGAGCGCGTTAAACCTCTTCATCTTCTCACTAACAGTAGCGAAATCCAAAAAATCTGCAGAGAAGATCTTCCCAACGCTTGATGTTTACCAGACGATCTTACACCTAATTCCCAAAATTGATCAGATATTCAGCTACGATTCAACCGCTACCGTTAGATCACAAGCGTCTGAATCTCTAGAAAAACTCTCCGGATCAGTGAACGCGATGATGATGGAGTTTCAATCATCGATTACGAAAGAGTCGTCTAAATCGGCGATTCCTGGTGGCGGAGTTCATCAGCTCACGAGGTATGTGATGAACTTCATCGTCTTCCTCGCAGACTACAACGACTCACTCACGACAGTTTTCAAGGAGTCATCATCGTTACCTTTACCGGAGGATTACTTCAGAAGCAGCGGTGAAGAAAATCCAGGATCCGGTGATCAATCTCCAATGGCGGCGAGACTCGCGTGGTTGATTCTCGTCTAGCTTTGCAAAATCGACGCCAAATCTCGTCTTTACAACATCTCAGCTCTATCATATCTCTTCCTCGCAAACAACCTCCATTATGTCGTGACCAAGGTCCGTACTTCGAACCTCAAGGTCGTACTCGGAGAAGATTGGGTGACAAATCACGAGGTTAAGGTGACTCAGTACCTCGAGAAATATGAGAAATTGGCGTGGGGAGATGTAGTAACGTCGCTTCCCAGAGATTCGACGATGGAAACGAAGGCGGAGGAGTCACTGAGAAGATTCAACGAAGCGTTCGAAGAGGCTTACAAGAAACATAAGCCTTGGGTTGTACCCGATCCAAAACTTAGGGTCGAGATCCAAGCCTCTGTCTCGAATAAACTCATTCCCGGGTATACGAGTTTCTACAAAAAATACCCGCTCGGATCATGCAAGATTGTCAGATTTACCCCCGAAGATCTGAATAGTTACATATCCGACCTATATATTGGTTTAGGAAGAACTGTGCTTGTATCAAAAACAAACAAGTACATGGCTGTTAGCCAAGCCACGGATTTGAAGCATCGCTCCATTTAAAAAAAAAGCTCGTGTGTAACTTTGTTCTTAATTCTATGAAATCTATACAACGTAGTCCAAAAACGACATTTAAATTCAAATTTTAATAATGTCAACGGAATCATAGCCCGTTGCTAATAGAAAAAAGCCCATACCAATTTGCTATATTACTAGACTTCACATTATTAGTTAAATATATATAGAAAATGGCCACATTCTATTTGCTATTTCCAGAGTGTACCTCCTGTGCTCGTTTGAGTTCTATTGATCTTCTCGTACGTGTTGTTGTTCACACTCACTACACACTTGGTCACTCCCAGGTCTCATTCATTATAAATCTTTTGGTTGACCTTTGATTTCCAAACCTATATATACAAGGTTGCATGTGTATAAATTATAATAGGGGTTTACTTTTCCAGCTCGTGTGTTTGTACTAGTGATTCCTATCGTAGTCGATCGAATAGAAGGAACGATCACGTTGTTAAACTGAAGGCTAGTTTTAAATATGTTTCGTTAGTTCGTGTAACATGGTTACTCCATTGACTTGTAAAAAAATTGTTAAGAGAAATAAATAATTGATATAGATAATGACCGACAAAATAATATGGGTCGTTGCTAAAAGAAGGTGATGATTCGCAGCAGCAAAAGATAAAAAATAAAAGAAGAATTGTGGTTGGAAGTTAAGTAGTTAGATGAAATATGTCTTTAATGATTTTAGATTTCTTTTAGTATTCTTCTGAATGCAATGCAAGAAAAAGAAAAAGAAAAAAACACAGGAGAGACGTATACCAGTTTGCCCACGATGTATCTGCCATCGTCGTCTTTAATTATTGTTTTTTCAGTGGCAACATGCATGTTCAACTTCAACTCTGATGAAAGACATACAAAATAAACCATGCATGTTAACATCTCATTATGAATAAATAAAAAAGTGACTCAATTCAGAGTTAATATCTCAACATCCTTCTTCTTTTTTTGTCCATGTTTTTGCCTGCATAAATATACTATACCTCACTGTCATGAATCTCAACCCTCGTGATAACCTGATTTCAATTATTAGGATGTTTATGGGGTTCTTGTTCCATAAATCAAAGCTTTGATATTTAGTAACTCGTTTTTTTCCAATATGTAACATAGTTGAACTATTATGCATTTATGCGTGATCAGTAAACTAACTATTTCAAACATATACTATAGCTACAGTAGTAATTATTAAATTTGGCCTACAATCTTAGGTTTGAAAGAATTGTCCTAAAACATATACTATCAAGGACGACACTTAATCACGAAGGCTAAGTGACATAGACATATATATAGATATGATTTAATAATTTCAATCACGTAAATGATGATTGTGAAACCAGTGTCGTCTCTCCACTTGCTAGGCAATCGAATCGAATCGAAAGTTTTGGTTCTTTGGATAATCTCAAGAGAAAAGTCAAACTGGTGAGAATGATGAAATGACCAACAAACTAAAAACAGCGGCAAACATTAACTCCCTTTGACCCTTCGTTATGAGCACTAACCTCAAAACTACTCTTTCACTTAGCTAGCTAGTACTACACTGTACACAATAACACATGACCATTTCATTTAAGAAGCAAGTTGACTCGCATGTAGTAAACAGCGTCATCGTACGTTTATACTACTATAACTAAAAGATAAAACGGAAAAAGTTATATACTCCAATTAAAAGAGATAGATGGTTATGAACTTGAGGTTGACTAATTAAATACTAAGAGAAAAAGAAAAAAGTAAAAGGAACGTAGGAGCACGCAGATAGTGTGAGTAAGCGTTGATGGTTTTAATTTGTATAGCAAAAGAGAGATACGTAATTTAGGTTGGTGGAAGTTGAGATGATGAGCTATCACAACACTCTCACTTACATCCAAAAAAGTTCAATAATTTCATAAACCTGCTTCTTCTCATACTCATATCTCACCAAATCTCTTTATTGTTCTTTCATCTACAACCTCATTTTTATAACATAAATTTTTTGTTAAAACATATGAATTAATTTTGATACCCCATTATCTAAAACTTCAAAACTTTGGTCCTTAGTCCAACAAACGTACGTCAATCGATACGATCGTGTGCTTTTAGCTTATGAGTCCTATTTTGACATATACATAATGAATTCGTAAGTAACAGTTAATATTAAAATTAAATAAAATTCAAATATGACTGCTTTTTTCTACGGATGATGATGATGTTAATAACTGAAGATGAAAAGAATTTTAATTAGTAGATGTCTTCAATTTAATAAATGTGACAGAAAAAATATATAGTAAAATATGTATATGGTGTCTTGAAAAGTCAGAACGTACCAAAAAGTTCCGCGTGTATTAAACTTAATAAATAAGACACAGGCGAAGTCTTTCTGGACTTAGCAAATACACATCCACATCAATGTGTCATCTTGTTGTATGACACAAGAGTTAGTATATATGACAATCAGTGTTTGAGTGCTAGTGGTTTCATTGGAATGTTTGAGAAAACCATCGAGAATCTAATACAATTTGGCTGTCTGATAATGGCCAGAATATATATATATATCCACAAATAAATTCTATTTTAAAAAAAAAATTTACTTATTCAATCCTAAGTTTGCTACCCAACCCCAAATCTCTCTAGTAGGTTTAAGATACATGACTTAATCTTATTCATTAGAAACGTTCATATTCACATCTTTACTTTAATGCCCTGTCAGTAACCCCATATACATTATATATACTAGCTAGTATCTACAATAACTAGGTTGGTGCATGTGTGTGTGAATCTTTCTGACAGTAGTAAGAAACTTATTAAAAACGTAAATAGACAGGCGAAGAAGTCGTCGTCCACTTTGTACACCAACATCATCAATGTGCCAATCTTATTGTTTAAATATGTTTTTCTTACCATTTAATTTAGTTTGTCCTAGCATGTAACTTTGCCAATTAAATTTATGTTGCTCTTTGATTAACCCCACCCTTAAGAGGATATTTTACCAAATGATGTAATTGGACGGATATGAGTTGTCAAAAAATGAGAGCTGTCTTTTCCTGCTTCACTGGTCCTCTTATATATCCCACAACAATCTTTCATACATTTTATTTATATAACCATCATCACCGCTTCTCTCTTTATTAACTCACCAAGAACTAATCATGGATCTTCTCTTGATGCTCTTCTCTCTTCTGGTCTCTTACCTTACCTTCAAGATCTGGAAACGGATAGACTCCAAGAGAGATCAAAACTGCTACATCTTAGACTACCAGTGTCACAAACCTTCCGATGATCGTATGGTCAACACTCAGTTCAGCGGTGACGTCATCCTCCGAAACAAACACCTTCGGCTCAACGAGTACAAGTTCCTCCTCAAAGCCATCGTTAGTTCCGGGATCGGGGAGCAGACGTACGCACCAAGGCTCTTCTTCGAGGGCCGTGAGCAGCATCCTACGATACAAGATGCTATCTCGGAGATGGAAGAGTTTTACATTGACACTATTGAGAAAGTCCTTGAGAGAAACAAAATCTCACCTTCGGATATTGACATCCTCGTTGTCAACGTCTCCATGCTCAATTCAACGCCTTCACTATCTGCAAGAATCATTAACCACTACAAAATGAGAGATGACATCAAGGTTTTCAACCTAACGGCCATGGGATGTAGCGCCAGTGTCATCGCCATAGATATTGTCAAGAACATCTTTAAAACATACAAGAACAAGCTTGCTCTCGTCGTGACCTCCGAGTCACTTAGCCCTAACTGGTACAGCGGAAGCAACAGGTCCATGATCCTTGCCAACTGCTTGTTCCGCTCCGGTGGCTGCGCCGTTCTCTTGACGAACAAGCGTAGTCTGAGCCGGAGAGCCATGTTCAAGCTAAGGTGTTTGGTAAGGACGCACCATGGAGCCAGGGACGATTCATTCAACGCATGCATCCAAAAAGAAGACGAGCTAGGCCATATCGGTGTCCACTTAGACAAGACTCTTCCAAAGGCGGCGACTCGTGCTTTCGTAGACAACCTCAAAGTCATCACTCCAAAGATTCTTCCGGTCACAGAGCTCTTGAGGTTTATGCTGTGTCTTCTTATCAAGAAGCTTCGTCAAAACCCTAGCAAAGGCTCGAACGTGGCTCAAGCGGCTCCAAAGGCAGGGATCAAAGCAGGGATTAACTTCAAGACCGGTATAGACCATTTCTGCATCCACACGGGAGGTAAAGCTGTTATCGACGCAATCGGTTACAGCCTCGACCTAAACGAGTACGATCTCGAACCGGCGAGGATGACGCTGCACCGGTTTGGGAACACGTCGGCGAGTAGCTTGTGGTATGTGTTGGGGTACATGGAAGCGAAGAAGAGGCTGATGAGAGGAGACAGAGTGTTCATGATCAGCTTCGGGGCAGGTTTCAAGTGCAACAGCTGCGTTTGGGAAGTAGTGAGAGACCTTAACGTTGGAGAAGCTAAAGGGAATGTGTGGAATCATTGCATTGATGAGTACCCACCAAAATCGCTATTGAATCCTTTCTTTGAGAAGTATGGTTGGATTAACGAAGAAGACGATCCCGATACTTTCAAGATACCCGACGAACTTATGTGAAGTGTTCCACCTTTGAGAATCATTGATTGTAAACATATATATATGCATATATACAGAGAGCTACTCCTTCAAACTTCTGCAAATCCCACAAATAAAGGTGACTATATAGTTTATTTCCCTTTTGTTTAATTTATTTTATTTGTATTTGTTTGTTACCTTTTACTTCTTCTTTTTTTTTTTTAATCTAATTGGATGGGAAAGAAAATATGAACGACACAGAAACTGCAATATAGTTTTCTCTCATTAAAAAGGAATAAGAAAAACGGGTGTAATAATTTTATTTATTGTATACCTTTGGTAAATAATGATAATATTTCGAGAAGCCATCGTATTGTAGTGAATTTTCCCTTAAAAATATATATATATATATATAATGTTATGCTTTTTGTGACATATTTAGTTACTAACTAAATAAAGCATGTCACACTATATATTCATGCCACTTTAGTTATATAACTTTAGCTGTTAAAAGAGGAAATTAAATGTTTATATCTTATTTACTGCAACAGCTTCTTAGTATTTTGTTTTGTAAAAGAAGTGGAGATTTTTATATATATATGTAGTACAAGATCATGGTTACTTATGATAACACCATAAGTATGGCAATTTTTGTTGTATAATGGAAAATAAAATGACGTGTCGGCATTGGAATGGTTGGAAAAGAAAGCTGGTTTGGTAGGGAAGTAAGTACATTCAATTTCGCATTGATATCACACCACCACCCCCGGATTCAGGTCCCCATTTATTTCACAAATTACAAATCTCAAATAATCAAAATTCACACAGGTCACCTTACTTACTAAAAGTATCGAAGCTGCCAAAAATATTATCTTTCGGACAATAGAAGAAACCAGGGGTCAAGAAGAATGGTAATAGTTTGTATCGGCCAAGTTCTTGTATTGGAAAATATTTTCTAGCTAGGTTAGAATTTGATTGGTCTCATCGCTTAGGAATGATCTATTTATTGGTAAGAAGATATATAATGGTCAGTACTTAGCTAGCTATGAAGTCCTTAATATGTATGACTGATGAGGCACTGATGAAGTTATGAAAATGAGAAGAAGACGAGGATACAGAAATAAAGAGAATGAATAATAGTGACAGAAGAGAAGATTATAGATATCGCTCGATGTGCCAGACTCTGATGTATTGTATATCACACAAAAAAAAAAAAAAACATAAAAGCAGCATGTTTAAGTAGTTAGAGTATGAATTAAATTGGTGCCTACTTTCTTGTTGCCTTCTTTATTTGCATGAAGCTCTTCTCTTGTCACTCTTTTTTTTTGTTTTTGTTTTTTTTTAACTTAATCGGTCTTTTATTTCTAAACTGAATTTATATTTATTGCGCCGAATCAAAATTTGATTTGATCTATTTATTTGGGTCGGCGACTTCTGTTTTCTACTAACGTTTTTGAAATTTGTTTAATGTTTTAAAGTTTTTTTCCTTCTTTTATATATATAGAGCAGCAAAGGATAAATCACTACTCTCTGCAACAGTTGGACTTTTCATTAAATCATTCAGATTACTGAATCTTCAGAGTTCTATTAATGGAAAAAGTTTAGGTCAAATATTAGGGTTTAAAAAAATAAAATAACATACTTGAATAATTTGATAGCAAGAAAAAGCAATTTTGATCATGCAGTCATAAATGATATGGGAATACTATTTTATAATAATTGAGCCCACTTACCTTAACCTCAACGATCTTGTTGGACTGCTAAAATACTTTCGTTCCATGGCCTCGATATATATTGTAGCTCGCTTTTCTAAAAGCTCACAAAATCATCTCTGCCTAGCGATTTTTAACTATAGTTAATGAATTAGATGTGGATGTGTTAGTGCTAACGAAACACACAGTACTTTTGATGAAAATCAATACTAAAGTGGATCTTTTATCAGGAAAAAAAAAAAGAGGAAAAGAATTATAAAGACTAAAGTAAAGTTCATTCATATTTTTGTAAAACAAACTAAAAAAAAAGAGGAAATTTATGTGTATTAGTGATTTAGTGTATGTGTTTTCGTATCATCACCAAATTATTCGTTACTAACGACAAAGTAATCCAAACAAATAATGCATCATCGTGTTTATGTCTTTCGCGTTTGTTAAAAGGTAAAAAGCATAAACTAAACACCCCGCGTGTTCATTCATATATAGTTGTTTCAAAGGATGGGAAAATATATGTATCAGTTTCTTATTTATTATTTGTTCCTTTCTATTTCTATTTTTCAACTAATATTGATTCCAAAACTTAGGACATGGTACCTTAATTAAATCCGATCAAATCATTCACGAAATTTATTCAACGTACCATTTTGTTTTTCTATGTTGGTATCTTATTTCCATCATGTTTCATCGTTTATCAAATTACCAAAAAAAAAAAAGAAAAAAAAAAGAAGAGACATATAACAACTAAAAAAGAAAAAAGTGAAGCGCACTTGCAAAAATTAGCGATTAAGATATTCGATTAGCATCAACTGTTTCAAAGTTTGTTTTAATCATCCAAATTAAACCACAATTAACGATCATAACTTCATACATCAGAGGTCATAGCTAAGAAAAGAATCTACTTTACTTGCACTTGTTGGTATATCTTTAAATCAAACAAACAATTTTTTAAAATACTAAATAAGTAGAGATCATTAGAAAAAGGAAAACATTTTTATCAAACAATTTCTTGAAAGGTGTCACTGATCACTACCTTTCAAGAAAGTAGCACAAGTTTATATATTTTTATAATGCTAGCTATAGATTCGTTTACGTTTATTGGCAGATTGATTCACATATTTTTTTTTTTTATAAGTGATCGACGTTGCTTTACATGTGCCTCTCATGTCCAAATTCCCCATTTTCTTATTTAAAAAAAAAAAAAAAAAAAACTTTTGTGATTCTTGTTAATTTCTTCTACTATTCGTCTTCTCTCTTTCTACTAGTTAATCTTTGAAAAACAAGAGCACCAAAATCATCATATCTTCCAAGACCATTCCGAGGCCTGGTATGATCAATCTTTCTTCTTTTCCTTTTGTTGCTTAGTACATGTGTTGTTGTTATTTAAAATGCTCAATGTTTGTATATAATGGTTGTCTGTGATAATGCTCATCGCAGGCCAATAATCTGGGTGGAGGAGATATAGGAGGTGGAAACTGGACCAGAATCAGAATTTGTAGTTTGTAATCTGTCTGTAGAAAGAGATTGATACAGAGAGAGGTTTTCTTAGGGTTTTGTGATTGTATCAAGAATGGAAGGTGAAGAAGACACTTTGGCGGGTTCTAGCATTCTGAAGAAGAAAATGGCTAAACAGCTGACTGGAAAACGCGAAGACACTCTGCTTCATTCAGCTGTGAGACGCGGAGACAAAGACAGAGTTGTCGAGATTCTTACGCAAACCAGAGAGTCTGAGTTGGACGAGCTGTTGGGGAAACAGAACCAATCAGGCGAAACCGCACTTTATGTTGCAGCAGAGTATGGTGACGTAGACATTGTGAAGGAGATGATCAATTGCTATGATCTTGCTCTGGTTGAGATCAAAGCGAGGAACGGATTTGATGCTTTCCACATTGCTGCAAAGCAAGGAGATCTCGGTACGTCTTAAACCCTTTTGAAAATCACCATTAAATCCAGTTGAATGCGTCTTGAGGTTTAGCTTTTTAAAAAAAAATTCCGGACCTTTTACAGATGTGTTGAAGGTTTTAGCAGAGGCTCATTCGGAGCTAGCGATGACGGTGGATCTATCGAATACAACGGCACTGCACACAGCAGCAACACAAGGACACACGGAAGTGGTAAACTTTCTATTGGAATTGGGAAGCAGCCTTGCTGGAATTGCCAAGAGCAATGGCAAGACGGCCCTGCACTCTGCATCAAGGAACGGGCATGTCAAAGTCATTAAGGCTCTCCTGGCATCTGAACCTGCGATTGCAATCAGGATGGACAAGAAGGGCCAAACAGCCCTTCATATGGCAGTCAAAGGAACAAATGTTGAGGTCGTTGAGGAGCTTATCAAAGCGGATAGGTCGTCTATTAATATAGCCGACACAAAGGGAAATACCGCGCTGCACATTGCATCCCGAAAAGGCAGATCGCAGATTGTTAAGTTGCTACTAGCCAACAACATGACGGACACAAAAGCTGTTAATCGATCAGGCGAAACCGCGCTTGACACAGCTGAGAAGATTGGGAATCCAGAAGTGGCTCTTATATTACAGAAACATGGTGTTCCCAGCGCCAAGACCATTAAGGCATCCGGGCCTAACCCTGCTCGAGAGCTGAAACAAACTGTAAGTGATATCAAGCATGAGGTTCACAACCAGCTTGAGCATACACGCGTGACCAGAAAACGTGTTCAAGGTATAGCCAAACAGCTCAACAAAATGCACACAGAAGGTCTAAACAATGCAATCAACTCGACAACTGTTGTAGCTGTTCTGATTGCTACGGTAGCGTTTGCAGCCATTTTCACTGTCCCAGGGCAGTATGTCGAAGACACAAGTAAAATTCCAGATGGGCATTCCCTCGGGGAGGCGAATATTGCATCAACGACTCCATTCATAATTTTCTTCATCTTTGATTCGATCGCTCTTTTCATCTCTTTAGCAGTCGTGGTGGTTCAGACATCAGTGGTGGTAATAGAGAGCAAGGCCAAGAAACAGATGATGGCTGTGATAAACAAACTCATGTGGCTTGCCTGTGTTCTCATCTCTGTTGCCTTTTTGGCTTTGTCGTTTGTTGTTGTTGGTGAAGAAGAGAAGTGGCTAGCTATTTGGGTGACTGCTATTGGGGCAACAATAATGATCACGACATTAGGGACGATGTGCTACTGGATAATACAACACAAGATTGAAGCTGCCAATGCAAGAAACATTAGAAGATCCTCCATCCACAGTAAATCTGGATCATGGGGAATTCCACAGCTTACAGATTCTGATATTCTCCAAAACGAGTGTAAGAAAATGTACGCAATCTGACGTTGACGATATTCAATCCGTTTTCACATTTATGTACACGGCAAGAAGTTGATGTACCTTTTCCTGATATGGTTGATTCAATGAGTTGATGCCGGTGAAGCACTGGTGTTGAGGAGTTACCTGAGATGCTTCGTACCCAAGAAATCGAACAAGGATTAGACCAGAAAGGAAGAAAGTAATCTTAAATGCAACACCAATTCTGAATGGGGAAGAGATGTGCATTGATTTTTAACCTATAGCTTGAAGAGTTTCAGCTATATATGATCAACAACAAAAGTTTCTAGGACTTAAATAAAATAAAAAGCTAATCCCGAGAAAAAAATACATGTTGGACACTGGTTCCTGTTCTATGGATTTCCCAACCAATGGATACTTTGGTAGGAAATTTACATTATAAATACTGATTACTGAAGAAGGGATAGTTTACACTCAATGTTGAGAATCTTGAGATAGGGATGGTCTTTTTTCCAGCATCTCGTAATAGACAACAAAATTTTCCTGCAATGAGATGGTTGTTGGTTCTTCAGAGGGCAAATAAAAAGAAAGATACAATCGATGAGCAGAAATTGGATATACTCACCTTTTGAACGATGTCAAATGAGTTTGGATCAAAACAGTGATATGATCCTCTTTCATACGCATTTGTTTTCACAAGAGATTCCCCGATTCTAATGAACCACAACCTGTGTTCTTTGTGGTAGAACCAACCCCTATTGTACCTGCAAAACAATAAGAATTAGGCAGTGAACCAATCAGTGCATTGCAATCTGATACCAAACCAGGCACAATAGATAAGACAACCCATTTTCAAGCCATGGAGAAGAAAGATGGAATCAAAGTTGATGTTTTGCTCATACTCCCTTTCTTCTTCACATGTGAAGACAAATTCATCTTAAATATACATTCCAAGTTTGATATATGTCAATTATGATGAAATTTTCCCGAAGAAGCATTTTTAAATTCACAATACTAGAGAAACAAAATAAATAAAAATATAATGAAAAGTACATACAGTTCATTTGCCGCATATAATTGCGCCTCATCTTTTGGCATGCTGCACGAGAAAAATTGGTAAGGTTGTTGTGACAAGAGAGCCCATAAACAACAAGTTGTTCAATCCCAAATATATTTACCTATAGAATATGTAAAACAATGTTTCCACCAATAATTTTGCAAAAAGCCCAGGCTGCATCCACCAAAATGAAAATAAAACCAGCTCATGTAAGAATACAAACCTAGAAAGACAAGTGAATGATGGTGTACTTATGAGAGAGTAGAGTACTTACATGTAGAGGTGGAGGGTTTTTTGAGTAGTAACACTGCGGTACACTGAATTCTGGATCACCTTTAGAGGGTTCATTGGACCAAGGCGAGCCAAAAGTCTTATGAAGATTTTCTGTCGAGTTTAAATTTAACCCCAGTGTTGTCAGATCAATCCCAAGTGCCAAAGAAGTCAAGTCAGGGTCTGTCATCTTTATCACACTGAGCAAACCAAGCAAGCCAAACCGATCAGGATTTGCCTGTGTCACCTGCGTTGATTTTAATCCCACTTCTCTGAAAGGTTGGCTAGCAGCCGACATCTGCTGCAAGCGATACTGTGATGTGTTCTGTTGGTGCTGATACTGCTGGATAAGCTGCTGGTCATAACCCATCCCAGTGACAGAATTGGAAGAATTCATAGATCTTAATCCGATACCCGGTGGTCCACCAGCCTGAAATCAATCAAATGTTGTTTAGAAAGAACAAGAACGTTGGTTTCCTGAAGTATACAGCTCAAATCTCAGCCTGTAACAAACTAGACAAACCTGTGAGTGGTAAGATGGATGCGAAGATGAGAAGATGTCAGATCCATGCAAGGAGACACCACTACTACCCACAGCTTGAGCATGTTGTTGTTGAGGACGATGAGATGCGTAAGCTCCAGCTAGGTTAAACCCACCAGACCTTCCCATCTGCAAGTAGCCACTCTAGAGGATAAGTAAGGTAAACGTTTCAAGAATAACTTTCAATGGAAGAAAATTAATCCCAATGACATTTTTTGACAAGCTAAAACTCACAGATAATTGTTGAGATTGCATCATTAAAATTGAATTCTCATGGAGTTGTTCTTTATGATGCATATCCATTGGATAATCAGCATTATTTCCTGTATAACATCAATCAATCTTACCATGACTATACGTTAATCAGAAATCTATTAGTAAGAACAACAAATAAACTGACTGCAGACAGGATGCAAGTGTCAGAATTTTTTTAATAGAAGAACATTCTGTACTAGTATTATAATGATAATTCAAGAGGGTAGTATCATATTGGATTATGAAGATGATTAGTAGTTCTGCTGGGAATGATCACAAAATTGCTCTCTAAATTTCTTCAACACCAAATATTATGCCAATGTGGAAGGTAGATCGTTCCATTTGGAGTGAAAACCTCAAATTCCATAATGCACACAAGTAAGACAGAAACTGAGAATTTTCTATCAAATTGGACCATCTAAAAAAGTTGCAGATCAAAAGGGAGACCTTTATATCCTGGCAATGCTGGAAAATCTTCATTTTGGATACTGAACTCTTGGTTTTGCTGAACTATGGGGCTGATTCCAAGGCCTTGTTTCAATCGAGACCCTACGAATTTTCAGACAAGGACGGAGTATAATTTCGGTTCAAACTGGTAATAGAAAGAAGATAGAATTAAAGGGTTTTTATTACTTACCCAATTGTCCTTGACCGCTGGCAGAGCTGGGTCGGCTTGTGAGCTGAGGAAAATCATTGTTTATGTCAAATGGAGAAGTGTCGTTGGAGTTCATTTCATTCAGCAATCCCATGGAGGTTAGACTGTTCATTGCTTGAACATGATTTTGGGAAAGTCCCCCAGCAGTAGGGTAAGAATTTCCCAGCATCGAAAGAACCTGCGGTGATCCTGAAGGAAAAGGATAGAATATAAGAGTCTACACAACACATATCAAGATACGAAGAGACATATATATATATGTGCGGTTATTGGGTTATTGGGTTTAATTGATCTTTAAAATCCAACAAAAGCATGTGTTATTGGATCATTATTTTTAAAATCTGTGTCAAAATTTGATGTGGTTAGTGATTCCCAAATACTAATTGAAATCCGATGTTATTCGTTTAATAATTTCTTCTTGGATATAATAAGGATTTGACTTCACATACACTAATGGATTTGTATATCAAATTAATCCATACAAATGCGTTACAAAGTTAAGCAAACAGCAGAAAAGGATACAAATCATAAAGTACCTTGTGGAAGGACCCCGCCCATCAGGCGATTTTGTCCAATATTTCCAGATCCACTATTCACCCCCATATTCATCCGCGAACCAAGACTCGGAATCGATAATCCTCCTCCAGAGCTCAAATTCCTACCCATTGTGCCTCCACCGACCATATTCCCCATGGAACTTGTCATTCGAGAACCTGCATTTCCCAAAATTGGAGAAACTCCCAATCCTGGTATAGTAAAAAATTTACCAATTGGTGGCAAACGTAGGAAAAATCTACTAAAAGCGATTAGTGTTACTACTGACTTAGGGTTTCCAGCAGAACTTATACCTCCCCTGTTAGTGAGTCCTGAGTGTCCATGAGAGCTACCATGAGATATCTGCAAATGAGAATCCATAAGCAAACTTTATGGCAAAGCGAAACCAATTAGTCATTTTTTCATTATTTTCAAATATGCATGCTACACCTGAGAGAGTGCAACCGGAATATTGCTGGATGCAAATCTTCCATTCGAAATACTTCCATTTTGTTGTTGGACACCAGCAGAAGGAACACCATTTAGACCTGGATTTCTTGATCCAAGGGAACCGGACAAATTGGGAACATTAAAGTTACCATGAATATTGTGAAGGCCTTGAATCGATCCTATAGAGAAAACAAAAAAAACTTAGTATAAGTTGAGAAGAATGCAGACGGAAATAACTCGGGAAACATCTACCCACCAGCATGATGGAAGACTGGAGACGCAGCCCCAGACTGACCAGAGAAAGAAGAAGTAAATGTTCTCCCTGAACCGTCCGACAAGTTCGAGGTAGACCCGTTAATTGAGGACTGAAAACATCAATGTAAATAACCACTAGTCAGAGGATTGATAAACATCAAATATCATACAAGCTACATTGACAACACTGCACTGCATCACATTGATATAAAGGCATAAGGAAGTACATTAAGTAAACTTGACATTTGCAGATATTAATCAACTCCACAAGCAAAAGTTCATCCGTAAACCAAGCAGGATCCCTTTCAGTGAAAGCAGGACTGAAAGATTGCAGTCGTAAACGATTAATTGGCCTGAAACGAATGATCCAACAAATGGTGAGGCATCAAATACATGGAAAGGGAACAACTTTGAATCGATCACAGAGCTATAAACAGTACCACTTCAACACATCCGAATTTTACATTACAAACAATCAAAACCCCTTCAGCAAGTGAATATGAATTAAGACAAAACAGGATTGAACAGTCTAATGGCAGCAACCAGATTAAGGGTTCAATAGAGAAGACAACCATTGCGATATTGGAATAAAAGGATGCCCACAAATAAACAAAAACCCTAAAACACTCAGATTTATAATCTGCAGCCAAACGAAATAGAACCTGACAATAGTAAGGACCCAAAGGATGAACAAAGCAACACAATCTTGAAGCTCCAAGGATCAGAATTCTCGAAGAAGGAGAAGAAATCGGAAAAAAAACAAAAAAAATCGGATCTTTTGTAGGACTAACCGGTTTTACTGTAATATGTTTCGGACCGTCCTGCTTCGGAACTCGGAGGCGAACAGAACAAATTAAAGGGAGCCTTTTTTTTGTTTTCTCCTCTACAAGTGTATTGGTATTTTAATTTCAGGGTTTATGAGCCAAGAAACATGTTTTTTAGGTAAATCATCAAATGCTCATAGTAACTAGGAATTAGGTTTACTGTATATGCACATAAAAATATTTATTTCTACAATAATAAATAAATGTATAATTTTTACCTTTTTAGTTAGGTTTAATATGTTGAATAATTTAAATGAAAAAGTTGTCAATATATTTCAATTTCATTTTTTAAAACAACATAAATTTGACCATATCTGACTGAGATTACTAACTATACAGTATCTAGTCAATGACTCAATGTGAAGAAACTTTAGTTATAAATAACAGTATAAATGGTCATGACAAAATTCGCGTGGTCTTATTTACTGATCTGAGCATCAAAGAGCTGTCGGAAACAACACTGTATCGGCGTTTATGAGTCTAGCATGTGTTTCTCTATTTGTCAGATGGGATTTATAGTCATACTACTATGAGAGTAGTTGCAATCTGGTTTCTAGATCCTGCTGTATATATTGGAACCAAAATTATGGTGAAGAAACCAAACTAGTAAGCTACGTATGAAAGCTATATCACTGCAGATTTTGGACATATGTTACATATGTGGCTAATGAATGAAGACATAAAAGGCAAGCAAAAATGAAAAAGATATCAAAATGTTGCACCCGTCTTATTCAGTATGATACCTATAAGGGATTTTAGGATACAAGTATACAACATGTTTGAGGATGTTGTGCTGTTCAATCTAGCTACATCATATTCAATGATATGGGAAAAATACCCCAGAGTGCGGTTTAATGGAATGGTGCTTCAAGATTCCGAGGACGTATATTTGAGAATGGCAGCATCAATCCTCTCCTTGTCTCTAGTTGCAAATGATTCTAGGAGAACTCCGTTTTTGTAGAAGTGAAAGAGAGGAACCGCCTGAAGATTGTAGTAAATCAAACTCTTTACTATGCAGTCTTGTTGTTGAATCTTGTTTATTTATACCGAAATTCGAAAGAGGGATTACCTTGATACGGAGCCTTTCAGCGACTTCAGATTGTTCATCATATTCGTCTACCACCTGCAAAAGGCATTTAAGCTATCATCACTAGATAGTTTCTTCTACTTCTACTTCTCCTATCTTGATGAAAGATCAAAGACTCACATTATGCTTAAGGAAGATAACAGGAGCTTCTTGGTCACCAGATTGCTTGCATAGCTTTGAGAAGCCCTGCTCTATGTATTTACAACTCCCACAGGCAGTACGATAGAAATCAACCACAACCAGAGTGTTGGTTTCTTTCGATTTTTCAAGGACTCTAAGCAATTCATCATCTGTCTTGAACTCAGTGACGCACTCCACAGGACATAGATCATCATTTTCACCACATAAGTCCACTTGGTTCTCCTGACTTAAGCTCTTTGCTCTCCCACGCTGAAGCTTCCAGCCCAATGTGATGTTTATACTCATGGATGAACCTACACCTCTTGGAAACGACAACCTGACTCCAGCGTTGCGGCAGATCCATCTAGAGTTTGCAACAGTATTTATATCTCCCCCATTAGTGAGTCCTGAGTATCCATGAGAAATCTGCAAATGAGAATAAGAAATAAAAAAAGGCAAACTTTAATGCAGAATCATAGCAAGCAAAAGTTCAACACATTAGTCTAAAGAGATGTGGGTAGTACATTGAGTAAACTTGACATTTGCAGAGATGAATCAACTCCACAAGCAAAAGTTCATTAGCAAACCAAGCAGAGAAGTGAACTCAGATTGCACTCGTAATTAGTTGATTGGCCTGAAACGAACGATTAGTTGGTGAGGCAGGAACCAGATAAACGGAATAATACATTGAAAGGGAGGAACTTCGAATCAATTACAGAATTCGAGTACAAAACAGAACCATATAAACATGTCGAACAACCCATTCAGGAACTCGCAGAGAATTAAGACAAAACGGGCAACCAGATTAAAGGATTCAATTGAAAAAATCAACCGTTTCGGAATCGGAAAATAAACGAAAACCCTAAAGAAATCAGATTTTTTGTAATCCGCAGCGAAACAAAGCACACTACCTGGTATTAATACTATGAACCCGAACGATGAACAGAAATAAAAACTCAATCTTGGCACACCAATGGTCGAAAGCCTCGAAGATAAAAGAAGAAATCGGAAAAATAAAAATCCGTCCTTTTGTACTACTTTACCCGATGATCTCTACTCTCTATAGTTGCTCGGACCGTCCTACTCGGAAACTCGGAAACTCGGAAACTCGGCGAACTTGGTCCCGGTTTTGTCAGCCATGGCATATATATCATATGACCAAAGTGTACGACTTTTGACTTTATGATTTATCTTCTTCACTTTATTTTCGACCACAAATCCAAATTTCGTATCTTACTAGTTATTAGGCCCATGCAACTAATGGCGCTACTACAACGTCAAATAATTTATTTGAATAATAATTATTGTATAAGTGGTATATAAATTTGGTGTACCTTAGATGATAATTTATTTTCTTTAAAAAAATGTATTCGGATATAAATATTTAATTTAGTACTATATGTTTGTTTGAGTTGGATACTCTTAAATTTTGTGTTTATACTTCTCAAATGAGATTTAATGTAATTAAATCTCATCATGAAACCAAATTTTGGATTTGATACTCTTTTAATCAATTTCAATATTGAGTTCGATACTCTGTATGACGCTATTCAAAAGCAACATATGTAGAAGTGGACAATACTTTAATATATCAATTAAAAAAAACACTTGAACCATAACACACACATTAACTGATTAACTTTTAAAAAAAAAAAAGTACACAGCGAACAGGATAATAATAGTTAATAAATGGTGAGCTTCTCATGAGGTGATGATGGCGATGATGTTTGTTTTCAGACATGATCCTCGTTTTTGGAAGTCTGTGTTCCCGATGACTCATTGACTTTTTCAGTAGCAGCAGCAGTACTTTTTTTTTTTTTTTGTCACCGTAACAGCAGCAGTACCTTCTATAAAAGAACATTATTTTAGCAATTTATTACTGATAAATTTCAACTAATCTATTGAGAATGTTAATATAGTACTTTGAGCAGTTTTTGTTTTGCGCTTGAGATGAAAAACGTATACAACAGTGAAGACCACAAGTACTGCGAAGATAATCCCATAAAGGGTTTAGGGCATCTTCAATGCAAATATCTTAGGATGTATCTTACCCTAAGATTTGCAAAGAGAATACCTTATATAAGATTTTTTTTTTGCAAATTTTAAGATAAGATACCTCCTAAAATGCTTGCATTAAGGATAGTCTTACATTTTATTTTTCCCTTTTTTCTCTTGCTAAAGAAATTTGAAAAAGATTAATATAAGGTGATATATATTGTACTTGTGAATTGTGATCGAACAAGTAATAATTATGTTCTTGAATATAATGAGAGACTTCTTGTTTTGGAGACAAATATTCAACTTTTAATGTACTATTTATTTGTTGTTGGTGGAATTCAATTTAATTTTCATTGTTATGTTAGGTGAGTTGGATATTTTATTATGCTTATCGAAATTGATACTCTTTTCATCAGTTTCATTGTAACCAAATTCATTATCAACCCCAAATTTAAAATTTAAATTTACACTCTCCTAATCAACCAAGATTCATAACGTAATTCAACACATCGTCACAGAACATATATAACATAGAATTAACTAATAAATAAACCACACAAAGAAAAGGATCGAATATATCTTTAGCTCCCCCCGCAAGATGATTGATATATGAAAGCCATAGTGATGTTTAGACCACATCCTCTTTTCTGGAAGTTTGAGTTTCGGATGAGTCGTTGATTTTTTCTTTAGCAGCAGCAGTGTCTTTATACACATCAAAAAAAAAAAAAAAAAAAAAAAAAAAAAAAAAATTTAGCAACTCATTATATATAAAAGAAGTACTAATATATATATATATATATCGAATGAACTTTTTGATAAGTTTACCTTGTTCATCAGTGCTTTGAGCCTTCTTTGCTTTGCGTCTGAAGTATAAAACTAATAAAATGTATACAACACAGATTATCGCAATGCCAACCACAATTGCTGCTATGATGATTCCGACAAAAGCTCCAACAGTCAATGCTCCTATTTTCTTGATTTTCTTGATCTTGTTGATCTTATTTATCTTTTTTGCAACTGCAATTTTTTTTAAAAAAATTGTATATAGTTTTATCAAATTAATGTATTAATTAAAAGGCTTAAGTATATGTGTTCGAAAAGCATGAAAATTGAAGCAATTTTTTCAACATCAATTCTTACTCGTTTCTTTCTTCTTTGGACCTGCAATTTTAATTAAGTGTTTACACTATGTCAAAATCAATGTACGATGAAAGACTTAATTAATATATGTGTTCGTAAAGTATGAAAATTGAAGCAACTTTTTGACATCTATTGATCCTATATATATTTTCTTACTCGTTTCTTTCTTCTTTGGACCTGCAATGTTTTAATACTAATGTCAAAATTAATGTACTTTAAAAGGCTTAAGAATTAATATATGATCAAAACATAATAATATGAAACAATTTCTTTAGTGTAGATCATCTTTTTCTTTTTTGTTTACCTTTGCTCGGAGATTTCTTAGAAGCTGATCCTTTATTCACGACTGCTCCTGAGCGAGCGACTCTGGCTAGAAGACGACTTCTTACTACATCTTCGACAACGACCATCGGCGATTCTTGATCCATAACATATGATTCATCTTCTTGTCTAAACAGAGATAAAGCAGAGCAGTGTTTTAGTTTCAGCCATGTGAAAAAAAAAATATATATATATATATATGTAACAGAATTGTCAAGTGTTCTTACTTTGAGACAGCACTTCTCGTGGAAATAGAATATCCAGAAGTTAGAGAAAAAGACACGAATATGAAGAAGACGACGAAGATGAGATTGGAAGCCATTGAAACCGTTGCCTTGTGTTTTTGACATGAACACAAGACTTTGCTATATGTAGCAAAATTTTCTCTATGTGGCCTATTTGCGTCTGCTCAGTGCTCACTTATTATATTTGTCAACTTGTAGTTTATAAACTGAGATAGCTGGAAGTGCTTTGTGGACCGATTGATTGGTAAGCTGTCTTTGTTGGCCTTCTTGATTATAAGCTTTAGGCTGTCTGTGTTTGACTAGAAAAAGCTTTCTTAGGTTTGTTGATATGAACATGTACAACAGGGATATTTATATACTCATCAAGTAGTAACCAATTTCCATGAAAACTACGTACGACTTACAAAAATCCCAATACAATAATACATTGCTTCATAGATATTGGTTTCTAATAATTTAAAGAAACCTCTAAAGTGTAAAATCCACCAATAAGTTTTGGGCATTGTGAAAAGGAAATTAATGGCTTTGGATAGCAAATTAGCAATGTATATTATTTTTTCTTTTCTATAATATTATCATAAAGATAAGACCAAACAATTAGTCTTTTTTTATTTATTAAAGTCTTATCTGGTTTTTTAATGGGGAAAACAAATGTTGATGGACAAATGCAAATATCTTATTACTTATGGATTTTTTGTTTTGAAATATTAAATAGTCAAAAGAATTTTAAAATGATCTTTATATCTTCTTATACCAAATTTTATTAAATATTATATCATCATGTATATCTATTTGAAATTTTGATAGACATGATAAATAAATTTATATCCAAACATAAAATAAATATTTTAACATTTTCAGTTTTTTAAAAAGATCTATTAGCCATTAGTTGGATAAAAGAAAAAAAAAAGCAGATATATATAAAATCTGAGAAAGATACAAATGTGGCCACGCGAATCCTAAAACATGTAATGATAAAAAAATCATACCATTAACAATAAATAAAAGAAAAGATTATGATCAGAACCAAAGATTAGTAATTACGAATACAAGTGTATGTATCAAACATTGGTGTCGCCATTTGAAAGCTTTCAAGCAGGAGCACTCATGGCAACAGGTTTTGTCTTCACATCCATTCCATAGCCCATCTCTTCTCCTATTTAATTACATATATCGAACCAAATAAGTACTAGTTTTAATATTATCTGCAATCTCTGTAGATGATCCAGAATACTGGTCTAATTACAAAATGAATTAATAATATGTATGATGCATATATGTTACATTAATTATGATATAGTAAAGTTTTCATGCAATATGATATATACCTGGATAGGGTTTGGCAAGGGCTGCGTTGATGGCCTTTTGTCTTCGGACGAAGAAAATCCAAATTCCAATGGCGACACAAATAACAAAGAAGAGACCAACAGATAGGTCTATGATCGTTGCGAAACCGTTGGTTCCAACGCTGCCTTCACCGGTAACACCGCAGTCGAGTGTGATCCTATTAAACTTGTCCCCATTGTCCAAATTTTGTCGCGTCTGTTCGTCGTATAAATCTTCCCGGCTCGGAGATGAACCACAGCCTTGTTCCCCTGATCGGTGAGAATAGGTATTTCAATTTTATATACACATATTATATAAGTTAAAAGTGCAAAATGTGTCGTAGATGTTTAAAAGCAATAAGAAGAATATACCAACTGTGGATCCAACAATAGCAATAAGGGCGAAGAGAAAGATAAGAAGGACGATACGGAACGAGACCATTGTTGGGTGTATAATAGAAAAAGACGAATGAATCAGTATTTTTCCATTAACGGAGAAATTTGTACATGTTGTATGTCAATGTATATGAGTAACTGAGTATATATATATATATAACATAAGAAAAGGTTTGATGTATAATGGGATGCAAGTCATCAACTTCCCGTATTTTATCCGTTCTAGAGTTTGATTCAACTATGAAATTTATAATTTAACACTTTACAGAAGTAGTCCACCATATTTTTATATGAATGAATTTTTAGAAACGCAAAAATGAGGTTTTTTGGTTTGCGAAATATATAGTCTGACATATGTATAAAGTTTTGATATATATGTTTTTGGTATCGTAATTGTTTTGTTGAACATTATACTCACTGAACAATTCATGACTGACTCTTAAATTCGTAATGGTTTCTGAACTCTCTGCATCAAGAAGCTAAAAACCCTCATCCGTCCAAAAAACGTACATGCAATTATATAGAGAAGTTGTGTTGTTGTGACTTTGTGGGATGCAAGTTATCATCTTTGCCCATTCTATTCCTTCTAAATATTAAATGCAACACATGCCTTTAATAACAATTTTTGTTTGATAATATTATAGCTTTCATTGCAGATTCAGTCCAAAATTTGATATATAACTAATACCAAAGATTCTTTTATTTTATGTGTTGTATTTTTAAAATTTTTATTTTGACATGAACATATTTGCATTTGAAAAGATCGAAACTTAACATAGAAGAAGCCAAGTAAGGTCATATTCATGGTGGGCTATTTTAAAGCCCAAGTCGGAAAGTAATGAGATATAGGTCCTAAATTTATATAAAACATTTGGGCCTTATGTGATTAGCAGAGCAATCGGCTTGGCATAGTGTTATTTTCTTTTCTTTTACATCTTTGGTTTAATTAATTATATTATTTTTTAAAATTAGTCACACATAATCAGGATATTCCTATTTGGGTTTAAAAAGGTTAAGGTAATGAAACTAACAAGTAATGAAATCTAAATGAATGAGGTAGAATATCCAACATTAATAGTTAGATTTATATTTATATCCTATCTCTCTAATTTTAATGGGGCAAACTATATATACACTTTTTTACTTAATAAATAAATAAATTTTTATAATTTAAAAAATACCTATTACAATATTTGTCAATTCAACTTGGCAAATGAGGAAGTAGGAAACCAAAATGATCAAAACTAGTTTTTCTGACTTTTTCATTTAAAGGTTGAAAAGCAACTTGGCTAGTTACTTGTAACCAATGAAAACTCGCCATGTGTCACTATTGGCGTGGCAGAGCCAGTCCCATGTGATCGCCGTGTCCACGTGACGTGGCTGAGCCCATCGACGTTGGAATCTCTAGATTGCTTCTCCTAAAGCAAATATTCGCACATTTAAATGTTTTACACTTCTCCTCTTAAAAATAATAAAAACTTATTTAAATTAACAGATCACCCCCCTAAAACAACAGAATTACACTCTCAGTCCCTTAAGTAATAGACTAAGCGAAGGACTTTGTTGTTAAACAAGAAGAAGAATAAGGATTTAAATGCAATATCTTATGAGATCGTGTCCCCGTCGCTTTCCAGGAAAGATACAAGCCATTAAACTCTTAAGAATAAAAACCTATATAAATAATAAAAACAAAATTTATATAATAAGATATTCAACAATACATATTGAATAAATATATATATGTAGAGGCTCCCTCAGAAGTAAGAAGAAGAGAAGTATCTGGAGAGAGGCGTACGATCTCCGCATCGAAGAAACAGTACGGAGTTTTATCCGCGCCCGTTCTGGTGAGTTTTTTTTTTTTCTTTCTCTTTCGGAGATCTCGTAGTCTTGTGTTCTTCGCTCTTCTCGGAATTTGAGTTTTGGAATCTTCGTATATCATCGATTTTTGTTTTGACGTTGATCTCTAGTTTTGTTTTTATGCGGCCACTCGAAAATTTCTCGATTGTTTTTTCAAATCTGATGATTTGTTATTATTCTCTGGTTGGTTGATAGTTTTCAATTTCAACTTCGGATTTCAATCTCTGTTTTCATATACTGTGTAAAGTTGAAGCTTACTACTAGATTGATTGTCTTTCTGGGTATATAATTTGATCTTGTTTTGTTTTTCAGTGGAAGATAATAATGGGGAAAGGAGGTGAAGACTGGGGTAATAAGCAATCTAAGCATTCTGAATTAATCAAGTCTGATTCTTTTCCTGCTTGGGCTAACGATGTTGCCCAATGCGAAGACAAATTTGGTGTTAGTCGTGAGAAAGGGTTGAGTACTGATGAGGTCTTGAAGCGCCATCAGATCTATGGTTTGAATGAGTTAGAGAAGCCTGAGGGCACTTCTATTTTCAAGTTGATATTGGAGCAGTTCAATGATACATTGGTTCGTATTCTTTTGGCGGCCGCTGTTATTTCCTTTGTCTTGGCCTTCTTTGATGGCGACGAAGGTGGTGAGATGGGTATCACCGCATTTGTTGAGCCGCTTGTCATTTTTCTCATCTTGATTGTTAATGCTATTGTCGGGATCTGGCAAGAAACTAATGCCGAGAAGGCCTTGGAAGCTTTGAAGGAGATTCAGTCTCAGCAAGCTACTGTCATGCGTGATGGCACCAAGGTTTCCAGTTTGCCTGCAAAGGAGCTTGTTCCTGGTGACATTGTGGAATTGAGGGTTGGTGATAAGGTGCCTGCTGATATGCGTGTGCTTTCTCTTATCAGCTCAACTCTGAGAGTCGAGCAGGGGTCCTTAACAGGAGAGAGTGAGGCTGTGAGCAAAACCACCAAGCCTGTGGATGAGAATGCCGATATTCAAGGAAAGAAATGCATGGTCTTTGCAGGAACCACCGTTGTGAATGGTAACTGTATATGCCTAGTCACAGACACTGGAATGAATACTGAGATTGGAAGGGTTCACTCACAAATTCAGGAAGCTGCACAACATGAGGAAGATACTCCTCTGAAGAAAAAACTTAACGAGTTTGGGGAAGTTCTGACTATGATTATTGGGTTAATTTGTGTGTTAGTGTGGCTCATCAATGTCAAATACTTTCTCTCCTGGGAGTATGTTGATGGCTGGCCCAGAAACTTTAAGTTCTCCTTTGAGAAGTGCACATATTACTTTGAGATTGCTGTAGCATTGGCCGTTGCTGCGATTCCAGAAGGTCTCCCAGCAGTTATTACCACATGTTTGGCGCTTGGCACACGGAAGATGGCGCAGAAGAACGCTCTGGTTAGGAAGTTGCCCAGTGTGGAGACTCTTGGATGCACTACTGTAATATGCTCTGATAAAACTGGAACTCTGACAACCAATCAGATGGCTGTTTCAAAGCTTGTTGCTATGGGTTCTAGGATTGGAGCCCTCCGATCTTTCAATGTTGAGGGGACTTCATTTGATCCTCGGGATGGAAAGATTGAAGATTGGCCAGAAGGTCGGATGGATGCAAATCTTCAGATGATTGCAAAAGTTGCTGCAATTTGCAATGATGCTAATGTCGAGCAATCTGATCAGCAGTTTGTGTCTAGGGGGATGCCTACTGAGGCAGCTTTGAAGGTAATGCATTAGCGTGCACCTTTCTCTTCTTAACTAAATTGACAAAAAAGACTTCTTTGCTCGTTGCCCTTAAATGATTTTTCTTTCTATTGGTGTGTTTATTTGAGCAGGTTTTGGTTGAGAAAATGGGATTCCCTGAAGGATTAAATAAAGATTCGTCTGATGGCGGTGTCTTACGTATGTATCCTGAATTATATTCGGTTTTTTTGTTTAAACAGTTTACATATGCTTAACGCCTGCACTTTTCCTTTTTTATTATTATTGAAGGTTGTTGTCGGCTATGGAGTGAACTAGAACAACGGATTGCCACCCTTGAGTTTGACCGTGACAGGAAATCAATGGGAGTTATGGTGGATTCCAGCTCAGGAAAGAAGCTGCTACTGGTCAAGGTCTGTTTTTCATCATTTATCATATTCTAGCTTCCGAGGTCGAGCTTGTGAAATCAGTGTGGCTTGTGCTTTGGTTCTTGCATCTAATTTGTTGAGAAAACATTTCTCCCCTCCTTTTCAGCACCTAAGAAACCAATTTTGAAATTATGCAGGGTGCGGTAGAAAATTTATTGGAAAGGAGTACACGTATCCAGCTACTTGATGGTTCCGTTCAAGAGCTTGACCAATACTCAAGGGATCTTATTTTACAAAGCCTCCATGATATGTCCATGGGTGCATTAAGGTGTCTCGGATTTGCGTACACAGATGTTCCATCAGATTTTGCCACTTATGATGGCAGTGAAGACCATCCTGCTCATCAGCAACTTCTCAACCCATCCAATTATTCGTCTATTGAGTCCAATCTAATATTCGTTGGATTTGTTGGTTTAAGGGTGAGTCATGATCACCATGATATTATATGTTCTTTCCAGATCCTCAGTAATAATATTTTCATTCTCTACCTATTCAATGATTGAAGGATCCTCCAAGGAAAGAGGTGCGTCAAGCCATTGCAGACTGCAGGACAGCAGGTATCCGGGTCATGGTCATTACCGGAGACAACAAGAGCACAGCGGAAGCAATCTGCCGTGAAATTGGCGTATTTGAAGCAGATGAAGATATCTCCTCAAGAAGCTTGACAGGAAAAGAATTTATGGATGTTCAAGATCAGAAGAATCATCTAAGACAGACTGGAGGGCTCTTATTCTCGAGGGCTGAGCCAAAGCACAAACAAGAGATTGTCAGGTTACTTAAAGAAGATGGAGAAGTAGTTGCCATGACTGGAGATGGAGTCAATGATGCTCCTGCCCTGAAGTTGGCTGATATTGGTGTGGCTATGGGGATTTCCGGCACAGAGGTATTGTATCTCTTCTCTCATCTTCAACCATGGAAAGCTCCATTAGCTTTCTAAAGCTCTGGGCATTTTGTAGGTAGCAAAGGAGGCATCTGACATGGTGTTGGCAGACGATAATTTCAGCACTATTGTTGCAGCTGTTGGTGAAGGCAGGTCCATCTATAATAACATGAAGGCCTTCATCAGGTGAGTCTTCTAATGTTACATACATATATGCTTCTTTGTATTGGTGGCTTGAGTATCATACTAAGCCTATATATCTGACTATGATGAATCAAAGGTACATGATCTCTTCCAACATCGGCGAGGTTGCATCAATATTCTTGACAGCTGCTCTTGGAATCCCAGAAGGCATGATCCCAGTTCAGCTTCTGTGGGTGAATCTTGTAACAGATGGCCCTCCAGCTACGGCTTTGGGATTCAATCCCCCTGACAAAGACATCATGAAGAAGCCTCCTCGTAGGAGCGATGACTCGCTTATCACTGCCTGGATCCTCTTCCGCTATATGGTAAGCAAAAACCGATTTGTCTGACTTGTTCATCTTCTGGGGATTTTTGTAACTGACTATTATGGGTACGTACCTACAGGTGATTGGAATGTATGTGGGAGTAGCAACAGTGGGAGTATTCATCATATGGTACACACACAACAGCTTCATGGGCATAGACTTGAGCCAAGATGGTCACAGCCTTGTGAGCTATTCACAGCTCGCACATTGGGGCCAATGCTCTTCGTGGGAAGGCTTCAAAGTGTCTCCGTTCACAGCAGGCTCTCAGACTTTCTCATTCGACTCAAACCCTTGCGACTATTTCCAGCAGGGGAAAATCAAGGCATCAACACTCTCCCTGTCGGTGTTGGTGGCCATAGAAATGTTCAACTCCCTGAACGCACTCTCAGAAGACGGCAGCCTGGTGACGATGCCACCATGGGTGAACCCATGGCTGCTCCTGGCAATGGCGGTCTCATTTGGGCTCCACTTTGTGATACTGTATGTTCCATTCTTGGCTCAGGTATTTGGGATAGTGCCACTGAGCTTGAACGAGTGGCTGTTGGTGCTGGCTGTGTCGCTTCCTGTAATCCTAATAGATGAAGTGCTCAAGTTTGTAGGAAGGTGTACAAGTGGCTACCGGTACTCAATTCGCACTCCGTCCGCTAAGCAAAAGGAGGAGTAAGAAAACAAGAATTGAAATCATAAGACTCTTAGTTTTAGCTGAAATTAACTTTGTTGGTCTAAGTCTCTCTCAGCCTTGGTTATTTAATTTTTCAAAAACGATAATTTATTGGTTTGATATAAAATGTTTCTAATTTTTTTTGGTTCATGGACATAGTAGAAAGATGAATGTGTCAAATCAAATCTTTCATTGTTTATCCATGCTTCTTTACTTGGTCTTGGTAAAGTAGATCAAATGGTAGATTTCGAAATAAAAATTCTCTAGCAGATTCAACAGGTTCTGTTATTTAAAAAGCTTGAGAGGATTTGTAGTTCCCAGCTAAGTCAACATGAATCTACTCAAATTCACTTTCTTATTGCCAAGGCGAAGAAGAAGAGAAAACAAATGATAACATCTTTTTAGCAAAAGTTGCTTGATTTAGTTACAAAGACATAACAAAAACAAAATTCATTTTATGAAAGTGCAACTGCTATAATAAGAAAAAAAAAAAAAAAAAAAAAGACGCGTGAGAAATTATTAATAAGATCGCGTGAGAAAGTATTTAATAAAATCGAGTTTCCTTTTTTGGGTTAAATTACCTTTTTTTCCTGCTTCCTTTTACTTACTTGTATTCTCTTCTTCTTCTTCTTCTTCTTCTTCATTCTTCATCACAAAGATTCAGAAACGGTCTTCGTCTCTTCAAATCCCTAAGATTCCAAAAAAAACAAAAGATAATCAAATCAATCAAGCTATGCAAGACCCTTCGTCACGACCCGCTACAGGTTACCCATACCCGTATCCATACCCGAATCCACAGCAACCACCCGCCGCTTCCACCAACGGCTACCCTAACCCCGGAGCCGCTGCTTACCCTTACCAAAACCATAACCCATACTATGCTCCCCAACCGAATCCACGCGCCGTCCTTTTCCGTCGTCTCTTCATCGTCTTCATGGCCTTTCTCCTAATCTTAGGCCTCATTCTCTTCATCTTCTTCCTCGTCGTCCGTCCTCAGTTACCAGACGTTTACCTTAACTCCCTCTCCGTCTCCAATTTCAACGTTTCCAACAACCAAGTCTCTGGTAAATGGGATCTTCAGGCCCAGATTCGAAACCCTAATTCCAAGATGTCACTCTACTACGACTCTCTTGGTTGCCTTCTCTATTATCACCGTGCACCTCTGTCTGATACGAGGCTACCGCCGTTTTCTCAAGGGAAGAAGGATCAGACGGTGGTTAACGCTACGCTCTCTGTTTCGGGGACTTATGTTGAAGGTCGCTTGGCTGATGCTATTGCTAAAGAGAGAGGTGCCAAAGGAAGCGTTGAGTTTGATTTGAGGATGGGCTCTTTTGTTACTTTCCGGTACGGTGCTTTCCGGAGGAGGAGATATGTTTCTGTTTATTGCGATGATGTTCCGGTTGGTGTTCCCCTCACTAGTGGCTCAGGGAAGATGGTTGGTCCGGCTATGAGATGCAAAACTTATTGAGCTTAGTGAGTGACTTTGTGAGTTTGTTTCTTCTCTTAGGGGATTATATTTACTTAACCAATATTTTGATTCTCAATATATCAATTCCTTGTAAATCGTCTATGTTCTTTTCAATTTGGATGATGGAATGAAAGTAAAAAAATTCAGCTTTTCTAGCTTTCTCATTAGCTATAATGTGTTTTTGATGTTTCAGTTCTTTACTATGATTTGGCTTTTTCCTAGCATGATTCTTAATGATGTAACTGCAGCCAATAAGAATTAGATTGTGTCATGAATCTTGAACAATCATCTCTCAAACGATTTGGTACTTGTGAGTTGTTATTAAGATTTCTATTGGCGTTGATTCTCGAAAGATGAATGTCGAAAGATGGAAACTTGTGTGCCATGATTGAGTCACTTTTGGGAATGTATCAAGTGTTGAACCTTTTTGTTTGGCAATTGGTGGGTTTCTTTCTCTGGCAAGTCATATGTGCTCCACTTTGTGATACTGTATGTGCGGGCATACTTGCCTCAGGGGTTTGGGATGGGGCTGCAGGTGCTGTACTCAACTCGCACTCAGGATTACGTTACTAGACTCTTTAGATTTAGCTGATATTAACTTGTTGCTTAACTCTCGGCCTTCACTGCTATGCTTCTTTACTTGTGAACGAACTATTTATATATGGTCGACCAATTTGGTTTATTAGGTGAGAGATTAAGGGGTGATCTGGTTTGGGTACAAACTCAATCAGAACAGCGACACGAATCTCTTTTCTCTGTTTTCAACCCCTGGTTTCATTTTGCTGCAGACTGCAATATAGTAGTCGGATTCTAATACCATAAAATATATTTGCAGTCTTGGAAAAGCTAGAGTTAAAGTTACTTTCAACACCGTTTGATTATCGCCAATACCAAGAAAAATTAAGCAAACTGGTTCATTCCCATTAGATTTTCTAAGCACAAGTTTGCAAAAAATTGAACTACTACTACTACTACATCACATTGGCTAAGAACAACAACAAAAAAAACAAAAGCAGTAGCTCTAGCTTGACCTTGCTTGCCTAGTTCTAGGCTCTAGCGCTGCTTGCTTCGCACATTCCTTGAAAAAAAACACGAAAAGTTGGTTGTGATTCGCAAAATCCGTTAAAATAAGAAGAGAATGGTACGATATATTTTCTCTGTAAGATGATGTGATGAAGAAACCACATTCTGGAGTAGGCATGTCAATTAGGGCTAAAGCCCGCGGGCTAGTCCGGCCCGGCCCTAAAAGACATCGGGCTCGGACTTAAATATATATGTCCAGAAAAAATCGGGCTTTTTGGGCTAAGCCCTTTCCGGCTAAAGGGTTTTCTGGGCTTAACCCGGTCGGGCTCGGGCTGGCCCGAAAAGCCCTTAAATAAATATATTTTTATTTTTGTAAATATTGTAGTTTGAATAGAAGATTTGATTTATGAATTAATTTTTCATTTTTACTTACTAGCCTTACTTAATACTTTTAAAATCATTATCTATCATATTTTCTATTATTTATATATGTCAAAACTGAACAAAACTAAAATTATATATAGATATTGACTCTATCATCTATTTTAAAGTATTTTAATTCCATGTTTTATTTGGGTTAAAGTGTAAATAATTTATTTAGTCTTCAATTTTTCTCTTAAATTAAGTTAGTTTTAATGAATATTGATAAGTTATTTAAATTTTGATACATTATTTTTATAGTATACTTTTAAATATTGTTTTTTAAAAACTATTATGAACTTAGAAGTTGATTTTTTATCGTTAGTTAAAGCCCAAAAAAGCCCGAAAAGCCATGTAGCCCTGTTAGGGCCGGGCCGGGCTTTGAAATATAGGCCCGAATATTTTTCGGGCCGGGCTCAAATATATGAGGGCTTTACGAGTTTTGGGCCGGGCCGGGCCGGGCTAACCCGATTGACATGCCTACTCTGGAGTGGTCAACTGGTCATGCGCAAAAACAAATCTGAGATTTTGCGCCCATGAGATCAGGAACAATTGCAATTGATTTTGGTTCGGTTTACATGGTTTTAAGTTACGCAAACCGACTTAAATTAAATATTGAGAAAAAGAAAGAAAAAAACATTAAAGCCACGCGACGAGTTTTTGAGAAAGAAGTGCGTTGAATCAAATAGGCACGATTTTGGGGATTATAGCATACAGGAATTGCATACACTCGCGCAACGCGCACTTTGTGCGAGTGGGTATAAAATAGAGCGTTTTGATTGGCTGAAAAAAACGAAATAGTAGTGATGCTCCTCCTCTCCTATTTTGTATTATTTGTAACTTTTCATCTTTTTCTCTCCAACTGTGTGAACAAAGTATGAATATTTCGGCGGAATTCTCAAACAATGGTCGTGAGATGATTTGGAAAATCTTTTTATATATGCTTCTTCCTCTTTTTATGTTTATATAGAGCCAGCTGAGAATGAAATTAAAAGCTTGTTGGTGGTGGAACATGAACATTGATAAAAGCTTACTGATTTTGCAAATTTTCTTTTGTTTTTTTTTTTTTTGTTATAAAGGGATTACTGATAGGAGTTTCTATATGGCGTGTGATCTTCTGTCAGCCCATTGTAGACCATTTCGCCTGCTTCCACATGGCGTGATCCCAAAACTAAAACTAAGTGATGATGAAATGACACCACATTATATAAGGAGACTTGCTTTATTCTGAGATTGATTCTCTCAATTGAAAACAAACTTCTATATGGCTATTACTCCATCCAAACGCTATTATCAGTTTCGAATGAGATACACAGATTAAGAGGTAGCACAACCTCAATAGTCAAATAGATAGATATCAAAGAATGAAACAAATACAGATTAAAAGCAGCTTCCTGTTAAAGAGTTGGGATTGAGTGTGAGGTTGCCAAGATAGCAGTGAAGAGAGCAAACTGGTTCATTCTCATTGAATTTTTTAAGCATAAGTTTGCAAAGATATTTGAACTAACATCATCACATCACATTGGCTAAGAACAAACAATACAAAAGAAATAAAAGCGGTAGTAGTAGCAGCTAAACTCCTAGATTTGCTTTTTTTTTTTTTAACAGAGAATCTCAGAAACAAGAAGAAATTCCCAAAGTTGCGATAAGCCCTAATAAATCGAAGAGATCGATTAACCGCCGAAACCGTAGAGAGTGCGACCTTGCCTCTTCAAGGCGTAGACAACATCCATGGCGGTCACAGTCTTCCTCCTGGCGTGCTCAGTGTAGGTTACGGCGTCACGGATGACATTCTCGAGAAAGATCTTGAGGACTCCTCTGGTCTCCTCGTAGATGAGACCGCTGATACGCTTCACACCACCTCTACGAGCCAGACGACGAATGGCTGGCTTCGTTATTCCTTGGATGTTATCTCTTAGAACCTTCCTGTGCCTCTTCGCTCCTCCCTTTCCCAATCCTTTCCCTCCCTTTCCTCTTCCCGACATCTCTTCACTTCTTCAAAATTCCAATCAGATCTCTGAACAATAACAAACCGGAAAATTTTTCAATTAGTAAGAACAGAAACCCTAGATTTCCAGATCAATCAATCCAAATTACAATCGAAGAACTGATTTCTTCTAAAATGCAAACAAAATGCCAAAACCCAATACTGGAATTGAGATGAGCAAAGTCAGAGATGTAAGTAATGTATAACCTACCTGATGATTGATCGAAAGCTCTGTGAAACCTCTTGAAAAGAAATGTTTGTTATTTCAACTCGCAATGAGAATTGAGTCATTTATAAATGAGACGCATACCCAAAGAATAATCCGTGGCCGTACGATATGTGTCACCTTTCAACGGACCATGATTGCGATCCGCGTGAAAGCTCCAGGACTAATATGCATCGTTGATTCTTAAAATTCGACGGTCGTAGATGTTTGTAGCTTTCGACGTTTCCTCTCATTCTCTCTAACTTTAAAGTTTGTTTATCCAACAACTAAAAAGCCCGAAAGGCCCAAACATAAATAACAGATAACCATCTGAAAGACTCATTATTTGTAATAAATTATAAGGCCCAATTGAAAAGTAGTAAACAAAAGCTCACGTGGCAACAAGTACACTACGTACGTACACACGAACCTCCATGCAGCCGACCACGTGTTCAGCTCACAGTAAAGAGAGATCCTATGTATTGCAAAAGAGAGAGTCTTGTGAATTGGATCGGATCGGATAGAATCGACTCGATATCAAAATCATAACACTGAGAGAGAAAAAAAATGGCTGCAAATGTGATGAGACCGGCGTTTGCTTACACTGTTGTGTACGTTAAGGATGTCGCTAAATCCGTCGAATTCTACTCAAGAGCCTTTGGTCACAACGTCCGTCGTCTTGATGATTCTCACAGGTTCTTTACATTTTAAGAGTTTTTCCTATTTTCTTAAGATTTTATTTAGATTGGTAGAATATGTAAATACATTGATCTGCAGATCATAGATGCATATATGGTCAAGAAACCAAAACTTTCGAAGTTAGGGATTTCATTGGTGCGATATGCCCTGTATTATCAGGTCTGATCCGCTTGCTAAGCAATTGCTTAAAGGCTGCCAGATATAGCGAAACATATAGAAATTATGTGGATATTTCATAGATATAGTTTAGTATTAATGGTCTTGTCTTTTCGCTTGGGGAGTTAAATATGGTTTATATACGATGGAAGAAATAAACTTATACGAATACAGGTGGGGAGAGCTAGAGAGCGGGCAAACGACGATAGCGTTCACACCGCTTCACCAGCATGAGACTGACGACCTAACCGGGAAGGTTCAGTCTACGCAATCAGCCCGCGAAAGAGCACCCATCGAAGTTTGCTTCTGTTACCCTGATGTTGATGCTGCTTTCAAGGTAAACTCATATATATAATTCTGTCTTTCTCGAGATGTATATATCATCTGTCAACCTCTTTAATATTGATACACGAGTGAGAGGGATGGTGCGTATGTGGTGCAGAGAGCAGTGGAGAACGGTGCGGTGGCAGTGAGCGAGCCGGAAAACAAAGAATGGGGTCAGAAGGTCGGATACGTGCGAGACATCGACGGCATCGTTGTACGGATCGGAAGCCACGTTAAGTGAATTACAAAACAAAGACTCGATCACGGATCATTAACTATATAGTACAAGATATATATATTATATATAATCTATGCATACGAATAATACAAGATACTTTCGTACTACTCTTTTTCTTTTCTGGTTAATGGAAATTCGACATGCATGAAGCAAAACGGTAAAAGTAAAAAATAAAATAAAAAACAATGTGCCCAACGTCGCCACTCCCCAGCCTAGTATACCCTTTTTAATTGTTAGCATCGTTACACTAAGTGGAAATGATTTAGTTGAACCCAATTAACCAGCGAATTAGATTAAGGGAAGTTAAATAATTTAGCTATAGATCTCTAGAGATGGATACTGGACGACACTCTAGCGTATTATTGTTCTAAACCATATAAAACAATATTATCATCTGGGTTTTCTATTACTTGTACATCTTAATTATTCGACGATTCTAATATTCAATAAAATAACAAACAGAAAATAATAAAACGTTCCTTTTACTTTTTCTTTTTTTGGTTGGTTGTATAGTCGTAATCTCGTATGTTTTGTGAGCCTACTTTGGTTTTCGTAAAAGCTAAACCAGTAAAGTAAATAGATACTGTATGTCGTATTTGGTCTTTGAAAATCAAATTGGACTGGTTTTTGTTTTTTTTTTTTTGCAATAATTGATAAGACTTGTTAATTATCCTCTGAATATTTTAATACTAGTATAGATTTAGGAGAAAGATACTCCACGTATAGTATATGACTTTTCAATATTTGCTGCCTACACCAATTAGCAGCTGCTACACTTATTTTAAAAACTAATTTAGAAAATTATTAAAATAACTATTAAAACATAAATAGTAACTTCAAACATATTTTAAACATTTGAACCTCATGTCTTTTTTTTTTTTTTTTTTCTGGTCGACAACGTCATGTCTTAAATACAAGCGTTACTATTTATTTCTTTTTAAACAACCACATAAAGGAAAAAAAAGACTAATCTCAACCGTAGACTAATCTCGAAATCGCTTGGAAGGGTCTCTGTCGAATTTTACGAAAAGCATATGTTAAAGTATTTACTGGATCCAAGTATTATGAACATAAACAAACATGTATGTATGCACAGACACACACACACAGTAGCATGGGCTGAAGACCAATGAATATTGGTTGATGTAATAAAATAACATCACAAAGGACAGCAAACCTTATTAAATCTTCGAAGACTAAAAGTGGTCCATAAGCTCGTCACCATTACTTCCTATTCTCCCTCTCTCTCTCTCTCTCGACCTCTATATCCTCTAATAAGCCTACTTTTTTTATCAGACAAGTGTGATACGATATTTTATTTGAAAAACATTTGTATAGAAAAAGATGATTCCTTTACATCGGATATATTTCATCATCGTCCTCTTCACTTTGATTCTCCATGGCCGTATTGGATCTTCCGACAACACCAAACTCCACGAGGCTGAAGGTACTTATAAGTACTAACTACTCCCTAAAACCACTTTCTTGTTTGTTTTCCAAATACGAAACTAAACCAAACTAGGCTGAAGATGTGTATGCATCTTCAGAAGGGTGTTTCTTTGTTGATAAATTTTGGATTCAGAAAGCGATTTCTTATACTTTGATGATATATATTGATGGTTGTTTATTTATTTATGGTATTGGAAATTGGAAAGTGAGAGCACTAAAGGAGATAGGGAAGAAGATAGGGAAGAAAGATTGGAACTTCAACAAAGATCCATGCAGTGGTGAAGGCAATTGGGTTGACACAAGTTTCACAACCAAAGAGTTCGAGAGTAATATCACTTGCGATTGCTCTTATCCTCCTCCAAACTCATCCTGCCACGTCATTCGAATGTAAGTCTCAGCTTCTTCTTCTCTCCTTCTTACTCTATCCTTTGCCTTTCTTATCCTCCTTTTTTCAATTTTACCCATTTTTAGAAAATACAAAACTATCTTTAGTCCAATACTCCGTGTCGGTGCCAAGTCAATAATGTATATTGGGATTTCGCCGTCAAGTTTTTGAGACAGTTTAGTTCCAATGGAATATTTAGGATTTACTTTTAGCTAAGTTACAGAGTAGTGGCTAGTTTACGGTGACTGACTATGAGGGGAAACCACTAAATTCCTTGGTGAGGTTAGGTTGTACGATTTGATTTACTTTGTCTTTTCATATTAACTGCGCAACTCGTCTCCCACTTTAATGACAACCACTAACCATACATCTATAAGTACAATACCCTATTTTGTTAGTAATATTCAAATGATAAAACTATACTATATATTTTTAGAATTTTTCGAATTATATTTTTAAAATAGATCGAATTCCATTTTTTACTAGTAGTATATAGTAGTAAAGTACAACTATTCGACTGTATTATTTTTACCATCTTACAAACTAAAGTTTTTAGGATAATTAGGAGAGCTACAATGATTTAGTGAAGTAAGATAAATATTAAAAAAAAGCTTCTGGTTTGATTTGTCTCTTTGTGGCGACAAGTTTATTTATGCCAGGCTGGACATGGCAGCTGGTCGTTGACCTGTTGACCGAATATATACGATTCAAAAGAAATAACGCGTTTACTTTCATATCGCTAATATTAACACTATGAATATATATGTGATACTTAAAAAGGAACTAATTCAAACAATTTTTATTTTTTTTTGTCGACGAGGAACTAATTCAAACAATATGTTTAGTATTTTCGTTCTTTCTTCTTCTAATTTTATGTTTTTATAATTTTTTCAAATTTTGTTTATCTAACTTTTACTTCAAAACAAGACTCTTTGATACATATATAAATTGTCAGTTTTCTTAAGGTTTACTGATTTTTTTAGAAGAAGAAGAAAGTCAAATCGTTGATTTTGATGTCCAAAACAATTCAAAGAAAAAGAAAGTCAAATGGTTGACTGGTTAAACCTTAGACCGGTTTAAATCGGTTATCTGTCTGTTTTGAGTTTAATCCTATTATATCCGGTTTATTATTGTGCTAGAGCTCTCAAGTCCCAGAATTTATCAGGCATTGTACCTCCAGAGTTCTCTAAGCTTCGTCACCTCAAAGTTTTGTAAGTGATCAATCAAGCAAACAAACAAACGAAGACTCAAGCTTTTCATACTTTCTCATAGTTTCTAACTATAAAAATTGGTTCTTGTCGCATATAATAATTTGGGTGCAGGGACCTTAGCCGTAACTCTCTGACTGGTACCATTCCAAAGGAATGGGCTTCTATGCGCTTGGAAGATTTGTAAGTAACCTCTAATTTGCTTCTGTTTTCTGTAACAAGTCGAAAACAATCAATTTTTGTTTTAAATAAATGTTGTGGCTTTGTGTGTTTTTGATGTACACTACTCAGATCTTTCATGGGGAACCGATTGTCTGGTCCGTTTCCAAAAGTCCTAACCCGCCTTACTACTCTCAGGAACCTGTATGTCATTGTTGTGTTACATCTCTACACTTTTTTCTGGCTCATGAATTGTACTAATTAGAGCCTGGACTGAACCTATCACAATTTTTTCTAAGTTAGTTCTGTTTGCATTATAGTGTTTTCTAGAAATGTAAATGAATGTCTCCAGTTTTGTCATCATTTGAAACTACGCAGGAGCCTAGAAGGAAATCAGTTTTCAGGACCAATCCCTCCTGAGATTGCCAAGTTGACTCATTTGGAGAAACTGTAAGTTTCTTTTTTCCATCTTTATCTTAAATCATTCTTGTTGTTTTCTTGCTTCGTGTAGTTATCTGTAGTTATTATCTTTTACATATACATTAAACAAACCCGTGATTTCTTGTCACTCATTACTTGACATCTTAAGTCTGTTGGCTTCTTATTGAACTTATGATCCTCTCTGTTTTTGCCTCAGTCATCTTCCTTCAAATGCTTTCACTGGTCCATTGACTGAAAAACTTGGATTGCTCAAGAACATTACTGATATGTAAGAGAATTTTTAGTCTTACATTGTTGATATGACAAACATAAAATCTAGTCTCTGTTGGATAATTTCTTTAATACTTCTAATGATATGTATTTGTGGGTGGTAATAGGAGGCTAAGTGATAATAATTTCACTGGACCAGTACCAAATTTCATCGGCAATTGGACAAGAATAGTGAAACTGTAAGATTAATTCTTTCTCCATAAGAGCTTGCTTGTCCACAAGAAAGGCATACCAACCAAAGAAGTTGTTTTTGCAGGCAGATGCATGGTTGCGGTTTGGATGGTCCAATACCTTCCAGTATTTCTACATTGACTAGCTTAAGTGATCTGTACGCCATTGAAAAACTACTACTTTTCTAAATTCGTTTCCTTACAAGATTATTTATCGACATAGTTTTTCTTTGGTGGGTTGTGATTGATAGGAGGATTAGTGACTTAGGAGGCAAACCGTCTTCCTTCCCTCCATTGAGTAATTTGAAGTCTATCAAGTCGCTGTGAGTTAATATACAATCTGTATGTTGTGTTTGCGATAGAGGTTTGCTATAAAACGTGTTTAATCTATCTCAAATACAGGATACTGAGAAGATGCAATTTAAATGGCCCAATTCCAAAATATATTGGGGATATGGATAAGCTCAAAACACTGTAAGACATGAATATACATTGAGGAAAGAAGAGTCTTCAGATGATTTATGTTTCCATGTAATGAACTCTGTATCTTGATTATGCTTACTATGTAGTGACCTCAGTTTTAATCTCCTAAGTGGTGAGATTCCTTCATCGTTTGAAAATATGAAGAAAGCCGATTTCATGTAAGTACGTCACTAGGAGAATATGAACTTAGTTACAGAATATATTTTCTAATCATGAAAGTTGTTCTAAATTTTCTCTATCAGTTATTTGACAGGAAACAAGTTGACAGGAGGTGTTCCAAAGTACTTTGTCGAAATAAACAAAAACGTGTATGAATACATGTCGCTCTTAACTTTCCAAGTACATACTTTAACAGATTTAATAAACTGTATTTGTTCTTCTTGATGTGCAGAGATGTTTCTTATAATAACTTCACTGATGAAAGTTCAATTCCCAATAATGGTGAATGCAACCGAGTTACTTCGTAAGTTCATTAAATGTACTCTTATATTCAGAACATCTTGTTCATACCTTCACTGAAACAACAGTGCTGCTATTTTCCAGGAATTTGGTGGAAAGCTTCGCCACTAGGAACAAATCGTAAGAAACCA